CCAACGAATGTAGTCATCATAAATAGCAATAGCCAGTTGACTAACTGACTAGTCAGCCAACCAACCAAGCAGCCAGCCAAACAGCTACTCTCACACAGTCAGCTGAGTTAAAAACAAATGAACATTGGTTTGTAACAAAGCATTATTTCGATGAGGGGGGTGGGCGACCAAAGGGGTTTGCATATTGCAGTTATGCACAACACCATCGGCAGTAACAGCAGTCGTTGTCGTCATCACCAACGACAACAACAACAGCAACAACAATTGCAAATATACCACTATGAATAAGACTCACTTTTATGTGGAAATGTTATGCACAATGACAGCCAACCAGCCATCCGACCAGACGGTTAGCTTTTTAACTAACCGGTGAGTGGTGCATAAACTGAGGTATTAATAGTCTGCATGGTATATTAAGTTAAAAATTATATAAAGACTAGAAGTTATCTCCTGCAACTAAAATGTGGGTGTTAAATTAATAAACTATACTTAAAAACAACATTACGGAAAAGAGGTTCTACAAATTTTAAATATTGTGCCCTGTAGGTATATTCTGTAACATTTTAACAACATTCGATATTGTTTATTTTACAACAATTTCATTTGTTTGTTTAATTGTTTTTACAATAACGAAAGAAATTTAAACAATATCGAATGTTGTTTAAAGTTACAGAATAGGCCTACTGGGAAAGAAACCTAAGGTAATAAATAATCAAAATCGGTAAATGTTATCCAGGCTTTGTTTCGATCAAAATGACATACAATTGAAATCTAATTTATGTACATTAACAAAAGTATAAAAACTTGTTTGATAGTTTTGATACTACATCGACAAACTTCTTCCATTACATGATTTTGCATAAAATTATTTTAATGAGATAGAAATTATCAGTCGGCCTCCGCGACAGATTGATAACCTCAGCATGCGACACACATATCTGCAAAATCTAGGTAGAGGTACTCGTATGTCCCAATAGCCTTTGCACAAAATTTTCTTTTAAAGTGTGCAAAGTTTGGACTAAAACGGATAAAAATGTTGCCCATTTAGGGGGTAGATTCCAAGAGGAGTGAAACGATTGTTCCAATCCTTTTTAACTTGATCTAGTGTTGATAGAAATATAACCATTTGCGAATTGTAATGTTCTTTTTGATGGTTGAGTTTAGTAAAATGTATACGATTAGCAAGTTAAATCGTTAAGTTAGGCAGGGACGAACTTTTTTATACCCTCCATCATGAGATGGACATTTAAAATACTTGTAGTCCGTTCGGGACCTTAAAATATGGTGGAGTATGCCCTTGTGCATTTTTCGTAGGGAGATTTGAAAAGCAATAAAAACCAAATAAGAGCCAATTCCTTCAAGGGGACCCCACCTCGATTTCAAACACCGAAAAATTTCATCCGGCTGGCAAATTGTAATACATTGGGCTAAAACTTGTAACTTGGCATACATGTTTACATGAAGACTTTAAGAAGAAAATAATTTGATAAAATGTTGTTGTCTTGATTTTTATTTATTTTATTTTTGTTTTGTAATTAAAAAACTTCTTTTCGACGGCGGGCATGATTGCCGACTGAAACATCCGAATCTCAAAACTCCAACCCAATTAGAAAGAGTACATATCTGGCTCTGGATTGACTTCGCTCGAAAATGAGCAAATGGATTAATAGTTTCTGAGTTATCGTGCCCGTCGTTTAAATTTTGAGAAGAACTCTTGCCATCGCTTGATGCTGACACAGTAAATCGACCATATCTTCAAGAGACAATTTGATTTTTTAAAACCGGGAATGAGGGGTCCCTTTAAGAAAGCGCCCTAAAATACACAAAATGCCGAATATGGGGGGGCTTTCCTGCCTTTATTTAGGGTCTAGCCTGAAACGTGGTACAATATAGATAATTTTTGGTAAGAAAATTTACAATATAATTCTAAATTATACCCATATGGTTGAAAGCGTGCCTAATCGAAATTTGTGAGGTACCATTATATGGGGCTTATCCTAAAAGTAGACCAAGATTTATAATTTTTGGTAGGAAGATTCGAAACAACAGCCTATTTATAATTAGATTTATAATTTTATAAATTTTTGACCACTTGTGGGAGAGGTTGCTATAAAATGCAGCAGAATTTTTCACGATGCCCCAAATATCAACCAAATCGGAACTACATTCAAGAGTTAACGTGCGATCTTTCACAAAAATTGTCCAAATTGCACCAAACGATATTTATTTGAAAGATAATTTTATTGGTTTAAAATCGATTATTTTAAAAATTCTTTATTTTTAATAATAATAAAAAATCTTAAAAACTAACGGTTTTTGACCATAAAAGGTTCGTACGATATTAATAAACCTATTTCAGAATTAAATGACATTACATTTTTTCATTAATGAACGTATTTATTCTAATATTCATATTCATTTGTGCACATTTTGCAGTAATTTGTTGCGATCAAATCCATATATCATTAATTCCCCCTGCAGTCATTATGGGTTCATTTCTAAATTGCCTTTTTAATATAGCCCATGCTTTTTGAAGTGGATTTATGAAGACACTTCCTCTTACAATTGGATTTATAAAGACCAATAGGTCTGCAGAGAGACCCAGGAATGTATATAGAGGCCACAGGTCGAATTGTTCTGCATAAAGACCACAGGACTTTATAAAGACCAATTGCTGTGTAAACAAACAGATGGAAAGTGTATAGATATCACAGGTCTGCTGAGAGAACATAAGCCTTTAAAAAGACCAAACAGTCTTTTTTTAAAATTCGTCGCAAATTTCTAATTAACAAACTCAAATATAAATACAAAAATTATTTAAAAAATTATTATAAAACAATGAAATCCAATCATCAAGCAATTATACGCAAATGTTTGTTTTATTAAATCGGTAAACGCGTTTTCTTCATAATATGTAGCTTATAAATATATAAACACATTTTCTTATTTAAATTAAAACTACAATCTTGTAAATCCCCCACATTTGATAAGGAATGGGGTTTTACTGAGTTGATTTATGCGACTTGTCACCATAAGGTGTTTTATGTAATATCAATTGTCTTGAGATTCCAACAATGAAAAATCGATTATCCCACCAATAATAGTAATTCCCATTGACATGTCGTGGTCCTTTTGATATCATCTCTAACGAGAGAAACTCAAACGATGCTCATTAACAATTTGATATAAATCGATAAACAAGAGATCTCTTGGAGAGTAGAGACTAATTGATTATTATAACTAAGATTTTAATTGCATATTAATGCAGCTCTGATCTGTCTCTCTAGTTAATAATAAACACGAGAATATAGAATAAACCACCAGCATTGTTATTGGACTTGATTTAATCGTCAAGGCCATATGTGTTGAGTGTGTATGTGTGTATGGTATAATATTTTTTGCAAAACCTAACAATACCAAAATCAGCATTACTTTCATAAAATAAAACAGCAACACACACAGCAATTGCAAATAATCTCGTTGTTGCTTTTCTTATGACAAACATATGTACGACGTAAGAAGTATTCCACATTTTGTACCTTCTTCTTACCGAGTTATGTTCTGTTCTCCGTGTTCTTATTTCTCATATGTGCATTTGTGTTTGTGTTGTTATTGTTTTTGTAGCCCATATAATAATACACATACACTCACACACACACAACAACTACAGCTAGTCCACAAAACACACTCTTTCTTCTGCTGTATGGCAACGACACCGACGAAAAGCAAACAGGCGGCAGTTGAACAACGAACAGCACATAATTTTATACAAATAGCAACAACACAACACAATGATATACTACTCTGACAGTACAACGAACAAAAAGCACTACTGGAGAAGAAAACAAAAACAACTGGCGTTCGTTGTGCGACGCGCGAACACAACAAAACACCAACACAGGCTCACTTAATACCGTTTTTATTTCATACGGGGCGGTAAACGTAACGACAACGACGAGTCTGCTTTTATTTCATTTCGTTTTGTGTGTGGTGCTTGTGCTGTTGCTGGTTCTGCTACGGCAGCCGTTGTTTAGTATCAAAGTGTTACTCAGCACATAAGCACACACAGAATAGAACAGAGAGCCAGAGGACAGAACAAAACAAAAATATCAAACAAGAATTTCAACCAATTTATGGAAGAAATAAAATAATAACAATAACACGAAACGAAAGCAAAACAACCGTCGTTCGTACGTACTATTGTGTGAGATAAACAGTCGTAGTGGATGGATAGATGGTTGCTTGGTCAAACAATTTGTTTGGCAATATAAAATTGAGTTAGTCCGTGTGGAATAAAAGTGAACTACTACCAAAAGAGACTACTTGCCAAAATTCTTGACAGATAAGACAAGTACATTTTGTTTGGATCACAAACATCAGTTGGCAGAAGAGCAACGAATTGTATAATCGTCGGCCCGAAGCCAAGACGTCAATGAGAGATAGAGAGAGAGAGAAAAACAACTATAATAACAAAACAAAAACGTAATAAATGTCAAAAGTTTTAGTGTCCATATGAAGTAGTTGTTGTTCCTAAAGTGAGTTTGGCATCGACTCCTTGTGGCATTAACATAACCTCAACACAAACACACACCGACACGCTCGCAAAGGCACATCGAAAGCAATATAAAAAAGCTATTTGGCTGATTTTTCAACCAATACATTAACACGTTATTGTGGCATTTAATCGCCGGCAGAGTGTGCGGAAAGAAATAAACTTGTGGGACTTTATGTTATATGAAAACACACATCTATTGAATTCGTGTAGGTGTATTGCGAGTGATTAAGCGAAATAAGACCTTTTGCAGCCGTAGTAGTGTTTTCTTTTATGGCATAACAAAAACAACGACACCAAGAGAGCTTGTAAACTATTGTGACATTTTGATTTGATGTGACATATCACTCACTCTCATTCCATACCAGAGTTGTATTTTGTTAAGAACTATTCTGATTGAGTAAACAAGAGAGCAAACGACATAAGAGATATTTATATAAAGAAAGAAATGAAATTGGCAACAATGCCCCGGCGATCATCAGGTGGAATTTCAAAACTAATGGCTCCAAAAACAACTGAAACGGATGTTGAGACAGCAGTTCCCGCAAAGAAGGTAAGTTGTTGTTTTTTCTTTCATATTTTACTATAATTATTAACTAATGTTATTTATTATTACATGAAGTATGTTCCAGTACTTTTTCGCAACCATTACTTCCTTAAAAAAATATATGTAACATAAAATCTTATTTCTATAGTCCGATATTATGTTATAGCTCTTAGGATGTTTCGCGTTTTGTATAGCATCCATATAACGTAACATTTTGGTATAACCGCCATATAACGTTTCAGCCCAATTTTCTGTATTTTGGACACGCTTTTAATCGGCTGAACAGTAAAATATCGATAATTCGGATTTCACAACTCATTGCATATTCTATAGTCCGGATTGTAGCAGGGCACGAAACAACAGTTAAAATTGCGAGCAATGAATGTTTTCCTTATCTGTGTAGTTTTTTTTTATTTTTTGCATGAAGAGTTCACACAAATTTTTACCTATTTTAGGGAAAATTTTACCTATTTGCAATAAATGATTTTTTTAATAAAAACAAAATTATTTACATTAACACTAACTTAATATAAAAATTTAAACCAATTAAAAAGAACTCTTTAATCCGGATTTGGGTATGTAATCAATTGTCAAGATTAGCGAACTTTTTCTGTGGTTTCTCATAAGACAAAAAAAACATCCTAAATTTCGGTATATTGAGGAGTTTTGTCAGGTTTTTCAACCAAAGTTGTTGTAATTTTCATGGGGTATAAAATCTCCCTACAAAAAAATTATAAATATTAGCTTCGGGATAAACCACTATTATTCTGTATTTTAGAGATTTGATGCTTTTTTCAATAGAATTGACTTGAATTTGATATTATGGATTTTCATTGGGTGTCAAACTACGTCTTGGCATAGTCCGATATAACTGTACCCAAAACTTCCAGTATTTTAGTTTAATTTTAAAAACATTATAGTCTGTAGTTAGGTATGTCGTTTTATCCTGGCAGCAATTTACCATCCCTATATAAAAGTCTTGTATAAAGATGGTGGATGTGGATGGTATAAAGTGTTTTGAGGAGATTTCTACCCATATACATGGTTTAGAAATGTGCCTTGAGCTATCTATTGAAAACATTTCGACTTCGAAGTTTACGCTGATCAAAAAATGTATGATGCTATTCTACGAGATACAAACCGAATAACAAAACCATTATCTTCACTATGTTAGAAAATTGGAGTCACCACAAAAACGGAGTTAGAATCGACGTTTAGCCAAACGTTGTTTGAATCCGTATCCTGCAAATTGAAAATAATATATACCTAAAGGGAAATTTTGAGTTTAAATGATAAAGCAGATTTGTGGATAAGAATATTGTTGATCATATAAGGACAAACTTCCTCCAAAAGACTGGAATCACTTTTATAAGGCTCCCCATAACTAAGGCATTTACCCAAGTGTCTTAGACGTTTACGATTATTTGTAATTCTCCATATTTATGAACTAGTTTTTTTTTCTTTTCTTTTAAAAATGTATTAATTACTCGTGTCACAAACGAATATTATAATAAAACGTAAAAACTGCTAACCCTTTCATCAGGCACCACATTCACATTCATACGCTCACTACATGCACATTTCCATACTTACATACATACATATCAATACTATTATTATTGAACAACATTGTGTTGTATTGTATTAACCCTTAAAATCATTAAAACCTCCAACGAACAACATTTAGAACAAGGCAACAGCAAAAAAACGAAAGAACAAATGTCTATGTGAACAGACAGACAAACCAAAAACAAGAATGTGCTATTAAGAACTGTCATTATGGCATATTCTCATTGTTGCAAACTACAAAAGACATTCGCATAAAAAATTGGGGTTTTCTTCGTGCACGTGTATGAAACCACTCACGCACACACACACGCGCTCTCATGCTAATATTGTGTACGCAATATGGTACGAACTAAGAAAATAAACAGAAAATATTGTTGTCGTTGTCAAGTAACTGAACGCCAGCTTTTACACAGAGCATTACAACTACCACTACAACGGCGACTGGTTGTATGAAAGACAGCCTGCCTGCTATAACATCTGTGAGCCGTACTAGCTAGCTGGCCGGGTGGCTGGCGAGGAAATGGCAAAGGTGTGAAAATGAATAGGAATTTCATACCAACAACGAATGTCGTCGTCATCATCATCACTATCGTCGTCGTAGTCATAGTCATGCAATTGGCATCGATGGCTTAAATGCGCACTTACACCACGTTATTTATATATCGCAATATACCAACACATCGATACATTTACACATGCATGAGTCTCGTTGTCGTTTATGCCATTTCTGCTGTGAATAATCATCGTGTGCTCTCTAGTTTTGCTAATGTGCTAAAGTCTCCCCCTCCCACGTCCCTCACCTGTTTGAACCAACTGATGGAGCAATGAAATAAACACTGAAACAAACGACTAGCCAAGCAACCAAACAACCCATACAGTAACAGCTTTCATGGCGTTTACTATTGTTTCTGTCAGAAGTATTAAAATTAAATACCAGCTGAAATGATCGAAAAACAAATAAAAACGTAAACTTAATAAGACTTTGAAGTATGGTATACAATGACAGGTGGCAGGTAGCAGACTCATACAATTTTAGGGAGACTTTTGTATGTGTAAGACTTCTAAGATAACTTCTATTGGTGGGAGGTAAGGTATTTAAAGAAAACTATATATTTATAAAATTATATATATTATAATTAGAAAAACTATAAGAAAAAAAATATAAAAGTTATTATTCGTATAAGAAGTAACCTATTTAGACCAATCCACAAGTTTTTTACAACATTTCTAATTTTTCATTGTAAAAAATTGCGGATGTGTCTTTTTTGAAAACCTTTTTCTATATGAAGGAGTTGCCAGATCGGAACAAAATTTAACTTGTGTTCATAACAGAGATGGAAGTTTCCAAAACACTTTACTTTTATCTTTTTATAACGGGCTTTTTGTGCTACGCTAAGAACTTTCCGAACTACCCTCGTATAAGAGGTATTACATGCAATTGGCATCGATTCTTCGTATAAAAGACTTATACGAGATATTATATATATATATAGAAGTTCTATATGGAGGCATATATGTTTAGGTTTTATAACAGGTTTTGTATGTAAAGGAGACGTATAAGAGGTCTTCCACATTGAGAAAATTTATAGAAGGTATTCTATGTATAAAAGATCTATAAGAGTATAGAAGTCCTATCAGAGGTATTATTTGTATAAGATACATAAGAAGTTGTCTATGAATAAAAAATTTAAAGAAGGTATTCTATGTATAGGAGACCTGTAATAAATTGTCTATGTATAAAATACCTAAAAGAGGTATATGTATGAAAGATTTATAATAGATCTTATAGAGGCCATAGAAAGAAATCCAAAAGGTTAAATGAATGTGTATGGGCTATATAGATGTATTCCATTCCAGGTCTATATGAATAGAAGTCTTAAAGAATTTGGTTAGTTTGTGGATAGAATACCTACAGAAGAAGATTTCTACAAAAATAACTATGTTGCCAATTTTCTTTCTCTTCCTTTCCAACATCCTCATATTCCCGCACTTCTCACATCTCCCCCGTTAAGCCGATTGTGGGTGGTGGTAGTTGTATGTTGATTTAGTTTGTTTGTTAACTCAGTCAACAAGCATTTCATAGTTAACAGTAAAATATGGTTACAAACAAATGTATCGCAAGCCACAACGTTGCTACGGTCACGGCACAGATACACACATACACATACATAACAACAGGCACGCATACTAATACTTAGCCGGGTATGCCATAAGCGATGGTTGTTATTATCTTGTGTGTGTTCTGTTTTCATTTTCTTTTTTTTTTTTTGGTTTCATGTGCCGCATGTTGCAAGTAACCAAGAAAAGAAAATAATGCCACCCAACATACTATCAGACGGCTTAGGAAAACAGTTGGCAAACAAATGCAAGATTCATGTAGGACGACGTTGTATGCATTTTTTGGGAGATGGAATTATGGACACGGGTAACATATTCACATAATGTGTTGGGAAAAAACAAAAGGTAGACCTTGTTGGAAAAGAATAACAACACGAAAGGATATTTCGATTATAGAAATATTATACAAAAAAGGATTTTAATGGATTAACTACAGTTTTAAAATATATTATAATTGAATGTATTTGAATGTTCAGAAAAGTGATTTGAATTTATTTATTCATTCAGTAATAAAGAAGCCTTAACGGTCAATTATATATTACAAATTCAATATACACCAGAGAATAATTTAATATTAATAATAATAATGAACCGAAATTCTTGTATATACAGATTTGTTTTGAAATGTTATCGATTTCTGTAAACCAATTTCAATTTTTCCAACAGGGTATTCGAAAAAACAAATGTAGTAATGCTGCTTTTCGCGGCAATATTTCTGGGGTGGTAAAACACAATTCGTTTTTAAGCCCTATTTGCAATTGTGGTCGTTAGTAACAAATGAAACGAGTATTATAGCCGTTCTTTACACAACACACACAAGCAACATTGGAACAGAGTCACCTTTCGAATAGCCCAACAATGATATAACAACAAATGTTGCTTCCTGTGCGTAACGACAAACTCATATTCCATATAATGAACACTCACACAGGTATACAACTTTACAGATACCAAAAAAAGATTCGAATAATTTTTGTTTAGGAGATCTTCAAATATTATAGAGGGTTTGTTAAAATGTTAAGAAAGTATTAGAAATATTGGTTAAAATCGAATACTGCGTTAGCATCCCCATTCTGATACACCATTTCCAATCCAATCTGTATTCCTTCACCCAATACCAAATATAGTATGATTATCAATTCCAGTACACTTTTAGTACATACTAGCATATGTCCGCTACTTCGTTAGCGAATGTGTCATTTGAAAACCAATACCGTATTTCCAGAACAACCTCTACCAATTCTGATCGCAACACAAATCTAGCTCTATACTAAATTTGGTATCATTTATAACCCGTTGTACTTGTTTCCAAAAAAATTTACAAATTTCAAATATAGATTCACTTCAATCCAAATTTTGTAACCGTTAGTATTAATATACATTTCCATAACTACCTACGTTAACAATCATAAGCACGAAACTTCCCAACATACCCCAATTTTAATTCCAAATTTCAGGATTCCAGCTCTACAGGTTCACCTAAATCCCGATTGTATCGAGTTTAGTACAATTTAGTACACATAAGTAAAAATTTCCTTTACTACCTACATTATGCAATCCAATGTAAATCTTACTATCGGTTTAACCAAATTTAGTACACATAAGTACGAATTCACAAAACTACCTACATACCGCAATTCTACAGTCCTACAGTAATCATAATTTCAAATTTTTTACTGTTCCGACTCTAAATCTAAATTGTACCAAATTTAGTGCCATTTAGTAGACATTTCCAAAACATCCTACACCCCAACAGTGATCCTAACTCCAAATTTCAGGATTCCAACTCTTTTGGTTCACTCAAAATTCAAATTGGACCAAATTTAGTACAGTTTAGTACTTTTCGTAGTTTTTAGCTCTATCCATTCACATGATACGATTTTGTACAAAAATTATTACGTTCCGATACTTGTAGTTTGAATGTCCAAAAAATCCTTTGCTACATCTATTCTACACTCCATAACTGACCCTCATTTCAAAGAGTTCTAGCTCTACCCGTTCGCCAAATAAAAATGGTACCACATTTAGTACATTTTTTGACGTTCTAGTACGAATTTCCAATAATTGGACCAAGAGTGACCTTCACCCCGAATTTCAAGATTCTAGCTTCATCTAACCCTTGCCTTTAACAATTATCGGTATTCTATTCTAAATTCAATTTATGTGCCACTCATAACTTATTCCTACAAATATAATTATTTCCACTATAAGACTTATTGCTCTAAAAATATACAACAACCACAAGGAAACGATTATGTGCGCTGCGCTTTGGAGTTAAATATATTTTAACTTTTGCGTGCGTTAACGCGATAACAAAAAATGCTCAACGCGAACATTCTGTTTAGCCCTTTAGAGCTTCAATACTTCCGAACTAAATATTTTTTATAGTTGTCAAGTAACAAATACTAATTAACAAATTGCCTACTAATAATCAGTTTATTTATTTTTTACTTTCAGCCCAAACGTCGCAATGAACGTAACATACTAACATTTTATGAAAAAATTGCCGTTATACGATATTACGATGAGACGAATATTTCACGCAATAGTTTGGCGAAAATGTTTCACTGCTGTGCAACACAAATCCGACGCATACTGGAACGCAAACAGGAGCTACTACAACAACTAGCAACACTCAGCGAAGCTGATGCTTCAATAATCATCGAAGAAATGACACGGAAACGGCGAAAATTCGAAATGAGCGCAATTAGTTTTATCCTGCATCAATGGGTGGAACGTTGTCGTCATATGCGCCTGCGTAAAAGTATCACCAATGACACGCTTAAGGACACGGCAGTAAAAATGGCTGCCATCTTAAATTTACCAGCATTCCGACCATCGTATAGATGGTTGAATCGTTTCCGTGGCAAATACAAGTACAACGATGAAGATTTGGGTGCAGGCAATGGCCCAGACACAGTACCCGGTGAATTGGCCGTTGAGGATATCATCATCGAATACAAGGATTCTCTGCCTAGTTTTATGCAAAAAGAAATCTCTGCCATAACATCGACAGCCAATGATTCTCTTCTCAGTTCATCGACGACGGCCGTTGCAGCAGCCGTGGCAAGTGAAATTCTGAAACCACGTCAAACGGATGTGGCAGCAGGCAAGGAGACGAATCTGCGCCAAAGTATGGATGAATTTGAAATATCTGAAGATGATGAGGACGATGACATGAATGATAGTACGGAAAGGCAGAGTGAGGAAGAAGTTATTGAAATTAACACGGCGACATCAAATGCCAGGCAAGAGGCGACAACAAAAACAACCACAGAAGACACAAATAATAACAATAATGAATTGTCCACTGAGGAGGAGAAAATCACCGATTCTACACCCAACCATGAATTCCCCATGATGACAGCTGGCTCGGCTGCCCTGTTGCACAGTATATTCCCACACCTGGCTGTAATCCATCAATTTGCCTTACTCAACTCGGATGTTAAAGCCTTGGAACTGATCTCCCAACTCGGCGTACACATGCAAACACGAGCCGAAGAAGGTGCCTACAAACAATTGTCGCTGGCGACAACCTCAACAAACAACAACAACGACGACGACGATGCTGCTGTTGTTGACGATGTTGATCCCAATGGTGATATGTATCCCGATATAGATGATATTGTTTTAATTGAATAGAAATGAATCGTAATTAAATTTTTTTTAAATTTCTATTTCCAATATTTTTAAAATCCAAATGAAATCTACCAAATCGTTTCAATGCCACCACCGCTGCCGTTTTTTATACTTAAATCATCGTGATGTATTTATTCAATAATGAATTAGTCGTAGCAGTTAAGTTAGTCTTAAAAAACAGTTTTACTGTATGAAATAAATATTTTAGTTTTTTTTTTCTTTTTTTTTAATTTTTAGTCTCGTTATTTACCATTCAATATATTATTGAAGTGAATTGAATTTAATCACAACTGTTTGTCATCATATTCCAGACAGATAGATTTATGTATTTAAAAGAAAAACATGTAATTCATGTATGTGAAATAAATAAAAATAAAATTTAAAAAAATATTAGTATTATTTGAATTGTCTATAATTATTTGAAACGAAGAAGGATTTATACATAACATAAATCATTGTAAATTGTTTATTCGCAAAACTGAAGAGACCTATTATACATAGGGATATATTTTTGGAGGAATTATTTGGAATTTATGTGCTAAAATTCTTTAAGGTATTGAATTTTGATTCCGTTCTAGACAAAATCAGTATAAATCACTTTGTAGAATTTTTTTTTTTTTTTAATTTTAAAAATATTTTACTTACAATTCTTTGCGTCGGTACATATAGCAATTCCATACTACATTCAGGACTGGCTAATTGTGGTCTAATGTCAGTTTCCCCTTCTTCTTCTCCTTCCCACTCTCCGCGATCATCTTCATCCGAATCCCCGGGAGGACTTTCTAATTTTATCATATTCGCATGAACAGAATAAATATCATTGACGTCGTGAACATATTCTCCCATATTCCGTTGTAAATGTAAATATTTTTCACGTAATACCCCGTGACGTTTCAAATCTTTTGGCGAACGCTGAGGCATTACACAGGTCAAATATGAATCAGTTTCCTGACATTTTGCATTGTTGCAACGTTTAGTGTAAATATTAGCTCGCGTACGCCGATGAATTTTTCGTATTTCCTCTTCCAGTGTAAGTGTCCTTCGTTTATCCGGTATTTGAGGACGACTATCACAGTGACGATCATAACCACAATTTTCGGTTCTCCATTCCGGATGTTGTGATTTAAGAGGTTCTCCCATATATGTCCGTACTTCATAGGGATTTTTCGTTGGACTCTGTGTAGCATTGAGGGGTACGAATTTTTTGTACATCTTTCTATTTGCGGGAGAATTTCGATTTTAATTGATAATTTTAAAAACAAAATATAAGAAGAAAATTTTCTAATTGAATTTATTTTTACAAATGAATGTATAACACAAAATTCAAATATATTGTGATTTTTATTTTAAATTTGTTGACATGTGTAGGTATTTTTGAAACGTTCAGTAATTATCGATAATTTTGGTACACACGTAACGTATACCATACGATCTGCTACATATAATTCTAATTAGAAATCTTCCATAAAAAAACAAAAACAAATTTTGAACAAATTTAGAACGTTTGGATTCGATTTTGAAACATCGGTATATCAGGTTCGTTAATTAATGGAAATGATCGAAATGTTGAATATTTTAATATATCTTACAAATTCATACTTTGTTCGCAAATGGTGATTATCGGTCCACAACAAAATTCTCAAAACATGAAGGAAACATAAATTCACAATATGCCTGCAAAATGACCTATTTGAACCATATTCCTAATGCCATTATATATATTTATCTAACACATGTATTTTACGTGTATTTTTCTTTTGCTGTCAAAACATATGTTTTATTTGAGTACCTCCAATAATCTTCTATTAATCAAAATTGCTTCTGATTGAAATAAATTGAAAAATGTTTTACCACTTATTGGGTACTGTAACAGACCAATAAACGTATAAAAATGTACTAATTTTTCCTCCATCAGAATAATTTATTTCCAAATCTAGTGATTTATTGTAAATTTGCCCATTACTTATCATCTGCCACACGTTGATATTGAGTTTCACCATTTGTGTCACAGATGTGAACAATTAATCGAAAAAAAAGATTTATCGATTAGTCGAAAATATAAAACAAAACAAAAATAAAGCAAAAAAGAACAACACAAAGAAAAGAAGTCGCAAAACGCAGTTGCAAAAAAACAAGTTAGAATCTATAAATTCGCATAAAATTCTTTAATATTATCGAAGTAAACATTGCATATAGCTAATAAATTGGTTATTGAATAAAGAAAATGTTTTGCGATATTTCCCAATATCGGAATGTAAACAAAATACAAATTACAGTGGAAATAAATAAACTTCAAGTTACATAGCGATTGCAAAGTGATGACACAGGGGCTTAAAAACAAATTGGGAAAACTATATGGAAATCAATACACCATATAAGGAGTATACCTAGCAAATCAGTGACCGGTTGGCAGTCAGTGTTTTATTTTGATTGTTTTATAAAATTGGAATATTTTTAGACACATCCATTGGAATTTTAGTGTCTCAATACGACTTTGAGCCACTGTGTGTGTGTTTGTGATTTTTTCAAAGCGATAAAGCCACAACCAAAATAAAGTGTTGGGAAAGAACAAAAACGAAAACTTAAAGTTACTTTTTTTGCACACAAAAAAAGCAAATAATAGTGCGTAAAAATAATATACAAAACAAAAAAGAATACTAACTAGCTCCACTCACAAAAAAGTTGAAGAGATACACAACAACAACAGCAACAATTGCAAATTAATTGGAACTAATTGTCCATCCAGCCAGCCAGACATCCATTCACTTGTTTTTCTGTGTATTATTTTAAGAGTAGAATTATTCTTCTTTGCCTGCTGCTATTGGATTCCATAACATCATCAGCCATCGGAGGGCAGGAAGTACATGCGGCAATAAAATGTGGATAGAACCTAAAGAACTTTTATTACCTTCGCCATTTTGGTAAGTCCACAATCTGTTTTTTTTTTTTTTGTTTTTTTACTAGTGGTTAGGCATCCAAAAACAAATAATAAATGTAAACCCCCTATTTAATGATAATGAAATATATATCGGACAATTAATTTTTAAGAGGGGAGGTGTACGATTCACAAATATTTTCTTCCGAAGTTGTAAAATAGATTTGTGTTTGCGTTTTTATTGCGTTTGGCACTAATCTATAATTTGTTAAGGCATTATGAAATTATCAATTGTCCAGAACCTGCAATTTTCTATAGATTTTTAAACTGCACTTACGTTGTCAATCATACACGCCAAATAATGCAAAACAATTGAATAACTTGGAAAGGAAGGGGTTTCCATATGTCAAGGGTTAAATAATCTATTGCAATTGGTGAAATCATTTGGAAGTCTTTTTGGTGAAATCACTATAAGTCCACTAAAATGTTTCAATCGCATGATTATACGCCCACCGGAATTCATGGGAAGATGACCGATATTGGGCTATTTCGTCTAATGTTTCTATTCCAACCAAATTCATATGACCGGAGATTCATGTCATCATTTTTTCTAGGCGACAGAGGTAGTTATTTAACAATATTTGGTATTTGAATTATTTACTACATGTAGGTGTTATTCCTCTGATCTAGGATTGGTAAAAATATTATGATGCGTTGGATTTTACATTTGAATTTAATCGTCATCTTTGTAGAAACATCATTTTAGTTATGAATTTGAAACTACAAAGAAATGTCTACTGGGCTAATAAAATGATTGGTAACTCTATTCAAAATGGTACCGTATGTCATGTTTTGTTCCACCGTTACTGCTCTACGCCTTCATTAAAGGAAGTATCAACTAATAATAGGAAACAATTGTTTTGTTTTGCGCGTTAACTGGATATTTTGTTTAAATATTTTCATTTAAATTTGACAAACATGTCATCGGCACAGGGAATGCTCTGCCCTTTGGGCGATGAAGAACACCTTCTGAGGGGATCTGGTGTTTACATTACAAATCCACGCCACATCAGTTTTGTCAAGAAAATGTTTCCAAACTTTCGATCACGCGAAAAAGTCTGTGCCGAATGCAAAGTAATGGTCGAGAAAATCTACAAAATTAAATACCAGAGAGCTTTGGAATTGCGAAAAAGTCGTTCATCTGTTTCTTCTGTGTCCAGTGTATCTGACGGTTCCAAAGAAACTGCTACTCCAGCTAGCAGTGATAGTGATCGGCCGACAACTAGTCGTGAAGCTGCTGCCAGACGTAAACAACGTGAGGAATCGATGCTTGCAAAAAAGAGACAAGATGCAAATAGCCCTGGTATAAATGTTCTAAAGGGACGACGTTTACCACATATACAACCAGCTCCGAGACGCCAACAGGCTGTTTACCCGAATCCCGATATAATGAATATATTACTCAGTGATATTCGCGGCGGATAAGTGTTTTTTTTTTTAGTTTTTAATTATATTGCCTCAACTTATTATCGCCTTAAAAGGGTATTTAAAATTCTATATCACAAACCCAAGTTATTTATTATTTAAAAATTTCGAAACTGAATTTGAATTTGTATTTGATATTAAATGTAATAAAATGCTATAATAATTTACAACTATTCAATTATTGTTTTTTTTTTAATTTTTTTCAGGCTTGCCGAAGAGCATTCCAAATATTTTGTGCTGCAAAAACGTCGTGGCCATGGCGAGTCACGTGGTTTGGGTTCCATTTTGGTTGGAACATTTGATAGTGTTTTTGATACCAAGCCGGCTCCATATCGGATACTGCATCAAACGCCAAATTCCGAAGTTTCATATGGTAAGTAACGTTTTCAGTAAAACTATTTGCGATAAATAAATGTAGCAGCACTCATTGCTAGTTCCAACCACGCCACATGTTTAAAAAAGTTTTATATTTTGAAGAATGTCGTCCTACTACAATCTCAATTTATTGTATATTTAGGTTGATATTAAATGGCAATAACATTTTATCTTTCAATAATCAAAATGTCATTTGCTAAAATATCCATATCTTTAACTTTAAATGTTTTGCCTTTTAATTTAATTTGCACTTTATCAAAGGCACATAGTCTTTTGTTTTATCAATTAAGTCATTGTCCGTATAAATTGTCATATATATATATATATATATATACCCTGTATATACCACAAATCTGCCTCAATAGAAGTATGTATTGGTATTAGACCCCAAGTGTCTTTGTACCAAATACGTTTTAAACGATTCGAAGTTGATATGTATGATTGTGCTCTTATTAATTGACAACGGAGGAGGTTTTAATTTGGTCTAATTTAGGCACATTGTAATATTCCATTTGAACTTAGAATAAATTCGTAAATGGAGACTAGTTTCCTTTATTTATGAAATTCTGATCTGATATATATTTTTCATTTTGTTTATTCCTATTTGCTAATTTTAATTTCGAGTTAATGGGGCAATCTATGTTTAATTATTTTCTAACATTGTCATGATCAATAGCAGATGTTCATCAACATCACCAAAATACCTTGACCAAAGTTATGCATTACATTTCCGATTTTTATTGCGTATTTTTTTCTTAATTGCAATTGAAACAACTACTTTCCCATATGTTCTCATTTGATAAGGCTAGGCAAATTTGTTGCTGATTCACACTGCATTTTATTGATTTTGAAACAAAAGTGTTTTGTTTTTCACTTTCAAGCTACAGATGATGACGAATAACAAAGAATATTATGATTACAATTCTCATGATCATAGTTAAACCCCCTTCTTAAATCGTTATATTTGTACAGTGCATAACTTATGTGATTCATTTCATAAATATTAACTTAAATATATTGAAATTTTATAATATTTTGAACCAATTTATTATTCTTTAATTATGTTTTTAATTGCAGAAATTGCCATTGGTGTCAATCAAGAAGAAATCTATAGAGACTGGAATTGGTTATCGAATAATCTTTTCAGAGTCCTAAATGAAATGGAATGTGAAGAGGAGATAACAAATTTCACAATTTGTAAAATTAAATCCTTGTATACCCAAAATCATCAAGATGAAACAGGAGATTCGGCTGATTTTAAAGTAAATCAATCGAAATTTCGTCAGTATTTCAATATGCCCGAAGAAGAACAACTGGTGAATTATTATTCATGCACGTAAGTATGGGAACACATGGGTCCTATGTAGGTCAATACTAAATAGTATAATTGTTATTAAAATGTGTTACTTAACATTTTAATGTAGTGTACCGCCTTATAGTCGAAAGACCAGGCATCATGAATTTGAAATAAATAAAACAAATTATGGGCTTGATAGCCTTGGATTAAATGTGAAATAAATGAAATTAAGGTAACATCAATCAGGCATGTTCAATGAATTTGGCATAATGACATTATTTTATCAAGCACTTTGTAATGATACAAATGTTGCATCCTTCTTCAAAATTAAAATATAAATATTGAAAATTAAATGTAGATATTTCAAAATTAAAATATAGATATTTTATCGATAACTTACAACATCCTCTTTTATAACTTTCAGTTATATAAAAAACAAAATTCCCCGTCAAGGTCATTTGTATATTTCGCTAAATCATGTGAGTTTCTATTCATATATGCTGGGTCAAGAAACCAAACGGAGTATTCGCTTTACGGAACTGGAAGAATTGTCGCATTATGGCAACACGATCTATTTGAAAACCAACAATAAAATGCAATATAACTTCACCATACTCTTTGATCACGTTGAAGCCTATGAACTAATAGAGCAATTGAATAAAATGGCCATACAACGGATAATACAGGTGAGTAAATGATATATATCAATACATCAAAAATGATGATGTTTTGAAGACATACATACATACATTGATAAAACTAATTAATTGTTTGGTTAATATTGTGTATATAAAGTTATGAAGTTGTATTTTGGTAGAAATTCACCTTCTAACGAAATATTTATTTTCTCACTTCTAGGATCCTGATAGTCCAATTATAGATAAGGAATCTTCTCTATTGCAACGATTTGGTCGTAGATCTTCAAAGAAACCGGCATTGTGTACGGATTTAACTGCCAGACAAAAATCCGAAGAGTATCGCATGTATTTCCGTTTACCACAAAGGGAAATTATTGATGGAACCATCAAAGGTGGGTAATTCGATTGAAACAAATATATTTAATTTAAACCCAATATACTTCCATTCGTTTTGTTTTATAGCAAATTTATTTACGCCTTATTCAAAACGTTATGTTCCCGGCAATATTTATCTATCTACGAATTTCATATGTTTCACAAGTGACACCAAGGGATTTGTCAGTGTTGTCATACCTTTACGAGTTATTAAGGTAAGCGAATTTTCTTTCTTACTGTTGTATATTACATTAATGCCACATTTTCTCTCTTCCAGAGTGTTGAAAAGAAAGATGATGGCGGTCATCGTTATGAGAATCAAATTGTTATAACCTCATCAGAAAATGTACCCTTTGTCTTTGCTCAAATTGTAGATCGCGATGTTTTGATAACGAAAATTACAAATTTACTATCGAAATTCCAAGTGTAAGTACATATCATAGCGTATGTAATGCAAAACAGCATACCAGCCAAACATTTATTTTATGTATTCGATATTTTAAAACATAATAATTAGCGGAGTATTTATTTACAGTCCCATCCGTAATGAACGTCCTAAATATGATATTTCCTGGAGCAAACAATCAGCCCTGATCAATACATTCAAAACGCAATTTTCTCCAGCCATGCTAGACAAGCAAAATCAAAAACTTGCCCGTTGGGAATCACATTTTCGTGATTATGGTCGTGGCATTTCAATGTTTCGTACTACCGATGTTATAAATCTAATTGCCGAGGGGGTGCCCGATAACTTGCGTCAGGAAGTTTGGCTTATATTTTCGGGAGCCATACATGAAAAAGATATGCATCCCGGTTTATATGAAGACTTGGTCGAAAAGGCGGCATGTATTAAACAATCGTCAATACACGAGGAAATTGAACGAGATCTACGTCGTTCGTTGCCCGAACATCTCGCCTTCCAGAGTGAAGATGGCCTGGGCGCGTTGAAGCGTGTCCTACAAGCATATGCCTTGCGCAATCCTCAGGTGGGCTATACACAGGGTCTGAACATAATAACATCTGTATTTCTGTTGTTCTGTGATGAGGAAAATGCCTTTTGGTTATTGGCCAGTTTGTGTGAAAATCTACTACCTGACTACTATAAGGATAAGGTTGTTGGAGCTCAGATCGACCAAGGGGTCTTCAATGAACTCATTAAATTGTACCTACCCGAGTTGCACCAACACTTAGACACGTTGGGTACCATCAAAATGATAACAATCTCCTGGTTCCTAACAATATTCATTAGTGTGATATCCTACGAGAGCGCCCTGCACATTATAGACTGCTTCTTTGTGGATGGTGCAAAAATCATGTTCATAATTGCTCTGCAAATTCTCGAATGGAATAAGGAGGAGCTGCTCAAGTGTCAGGATGATGGCGAATCAATGATGTTGCTGTCCATGTTTCTACAAGGCATCTACAATCCGGACTATCCGTCGCCACTGGAAAATGAAAAACGAAAATGCAAGCGCACACAGACTGTCCAAACACTCATCCATGAAGCCTATACGAAATTTAGCCACATAACATTGCAGAAGATAGAGGAGCTGCGCAACAAGCATCGCCGTCTGACAATGCGCAAATTTGACCTGGACAATGAGGAAACCATTGTGAAATTCCATGCCGAAAATCCCTATTTCGATAAGGACGAACTGCGTCTGCTGTTGTCGATAATACGCGAGGAGAAGATGGCTTTTCGCAAAGCTCATTTGCAAAAGATACACTCCCAGGTTGGTGAATCTCCCATTCTAGTGCCATCGCCATCAACAAGCCGTCCCAAAATGGGTTTCTATGAGAGTAACTGTAGCCGGGCCGAGGCCTATGGGGTTGATTTCGATACATTCCGTGTGCTGTTCTATGAACTAATGCCTTGGAAGTCGTGTGTCACCATTGATTTGGCTGAAAAGTTATTCAGGGTATGTTCGATCCATGTCCATCATTCATATTTCGTTTTTCGATTATTTAAATTGTTGTTGTTGTTTTTCTATTCAGTTAACGGATAAGAAAAGTACTGGCACTTTGGAATTTGCCCAGCTAGTAAATGCCTTTGGTTTGTTGTGCTCCAAGAAATACACTGAGAAACTAAAACTGCTATACATTCTGCATTTACCGCCTCTATTGTCGAAGGCTGAAATCGAACAGGTACGTAAACCACAGAGCAAGGCCAAAGATGATGCTGAGGAGGCCATCGAGGCAGAAGATTTCTTCGAGGAAGAAGCCTCAGAATCGATTGAGGCCTTGCCATCGCCAACCGACAACAATTTCGACGAAGATGATTATGCATTGATAACAGCCACGCGCAGACTGCACAATTTGGCCGGTATTTCGGGTAGCACATTTATGGATATATTGAGACCACCGAACAATCAATCGGGTAATTCAAACGCTTCGTCGATGGCAGTAAATGCAAGAACATCAACATTTTATGTAGATCTTTCAGAGGATGAAATAAGCATGCCAGGGACTAGCGGCGGCGAAGGCGGAGGTGCCGTAGGTGGTGGTGTCGGCGGTGTTTCAAGTTCACACAATGGTTCTGCAGCAGCGGCATTTTTCCCACTACGCCAAGAGGGTCGATTCGAGTCGATAGATACATTTTCAGACATTTCCGATTTGGGTGTAACGAAAGTAACACCACCCCAACTAAATGTTGAAACAATTTCGAATTTCTCACAGATTAGTGATCTGGTAATGGCCACAAATACCAAAATGGAACGAAACGATTCCAATACAGACACAAAGAGTTTGGGTAGTCTGAGAGCACTGTTCGATCAGCCGGATGGCAGTGCTTCAACCAATAAACAAATACCGAACATGAAAAAGGCGAATTTTCAAATATTATGGAGAAGTATACATGAAATTTTAGGCTCGTCGGATGCTGACATGAATAATGCATGTATGTTAGAATAGAGACTTGAATACGATTAATGTAATTACTAATAATGTCTAATTGTTTTCTTTTCTCGTTTTAGATAAAAATCTCATTGAAATGGGTAATTGTAATTTGAAAAAAGAATCCAGCCTAGAAAGTTTTACCCAATTGAATTTAGGTGGCAATGAAGAGGTGAATAGCAGCAGCAAATCACAGAAATAAATATGCACATAAAATTAATTATTTTATATTTCATTTCACAGCCCGATTCAAATGGAAACCCAACCACACCATGTGAACCCCCCGGCACCACAAAACTGTTCATGGATTTGGAAGAAGAATTGCGACAAGCACGCGGAGAATCAAATTCATCGTCTAATCAAAAGTCCAGTAAGAATACCAGCAGCAGTAATAGTTCCATTGATTTTGACTGTTGGGAGATATCCATTAATCAATTCATTGGCACAGTTTTAAATGTGAAGTCCATTGTGAAAGGATTTTATACTCGAACACCGATCAAGGAGAATATTGAAAAAATGCAAAAGAATAGACGTAAATGTGTTGCAACGAGCTACTGAATGGATGATCAAATGGATAATTGTTGAGACAAAAAAAATTGGTGGCAAATTAATTTTGTTTTGAAAACAAAAATTAGATTTCGTTAGGAATTAAAATATACATACATATATACATATGTTTTTGCAATTATTAAAATTTTGTTTTACATAGACTTATTTTATAAACACAAAAAAATAATTATTTAGCTTTAAATTTTCTCAAATGTTATAGCGCGCTAAACGAATTAGTTCATGTGATCAATTTATCTTTTTTCATACATATACGTATTGATATGTTTTTGTTTTTTACACTAATTATGCAATTAACACATCAACATATACATTAGACTGTCCTAGGCATTTGGTTTGAATGACACATATGTTTGGAAATGCAGTCCATTTCAATGTGCTTCACAAGGCTGGGACATTCTAATTTATATACACAGAAATCGAATGTTGAATTTTTACAGGTAGTATTGGATTTGAAAAGAAACAGAACTGAAATTGTGTTTTTTGTTTCAAGGATTGTAAAGTATGAAAAGGTTAAAGTTTTTGATATTATTTGAAAAACTAAATAAATATATTTCATAAATTATATAGATTCATATACACAATATTCAATATTATTAAATATAAATATTATATAATAAAGTACATCAAAAATATTAAATATCAACGATTTCTATGAACCATTAATGCTGACAAAAAATCAGATTTAAACATGGTAAGTGTGCTTCATTGCAGTGTGTATAACAATTTCAGATTATTATTACATTAGCACTTACACCATTACGATCGTTTTGCTGGCAAAGAACAAATGTTACATGACTATATACGGCCTTTTTCAAACGGTGTTTTTATGACTGGACTAACCAAAAAATAATCAAATCGGCTCAAACTTGTAACACACATCAATGGTATGAACATCCACCGATTGTATTTATAATCCTTAACCTTAAGGTTACAATTTGAAACGTGGGCATCATAAAATTATCGTATTTTGACCCCAAGAGTCTTTTTGACTCAAACAATTTGGAGTCAATTTACAAATGCCGGTCTTGATGAATGGAGTGCACATTAACTCACGGGAGATACCGACTTTATCCAAATTTCGAATATCGTAATATTTCATGCAAAAAATAGAGCAATTTGGAAAAAAATTTGGTTCCAGTTAGAGAGAGATCATATGCGCATTAAAAAAAATTGATTTTTGTTTGATCACATAAAAAAGCAACAAAATTATGTACATTTTTTTCTTCTCATTTATGTCACCAGAGGCCTACAAAATGAAATGAATTTAAATCTATTTATTCCACTCTCTTTTACTTTGCAAATATCCAGAAGCAGCGTTGTGGTCCAAATTTATTATTTTTAATTAATATTTTCATTCAGTTACCAATATTTTTTTCCATCGAATCTGTCATCTACACATAAATGTATACCAGATTTTTGCAAAGTAATTATTTTTCATCAAAACCGCTACAACAACAACAAGTTATTTTCCAGCCCAATGGGATTAATATGTTTTTATTAATAATACATGTATACATAGATAATATGTACATATACATAAATCGTATTGTTTTTATTTCCTACAAAGGTTTATCTAAAAATAGCAAATAAATACGTTGCAAAATTTTGTTCTTGTTTTAAAACGTATATGAATTTCTTTTTAAATATCCACATTGACATACATATACGCTTTTTTGCATGTAGAAGTACCATATTCGGAATTAACAGCTCATTAACTCATAAATCGAACATAAATAATGAGTCATCGTTGACAACGTCATTTTCAAATTAATCCAATCAGAAAATTCAGATGATTTGCTATTTCTGGCGATAACCAAAATACCACAACATCATCGTTATTGCTGTTATTAACTACATATGTACGTTAGTAAGCTATTACTATATATGATTGTGTGATATATGTATATTTATTAACAATCATTACTCCTGTTTGAAGGTTTTCGTTTTGCACACATTTCACTCCCAAACGAAAAACGTTTACGTATTACACGCTATTAGAAATATGCAGACATTCACTGGTTTATTCTACAAAAAATACGTATGTAGGTAGCATCATGTACATACATATATTATATAGAACCAATATAACATAATAATAACAAATAAACTACTTTGTTAATTACAAACATAAATATGAGAGTTCTTACTATGGAATGAATTGTTACATTTTTGTTGTTGGTTTTTTTTATAAAGGCTAAGTGAGGAATATGTGTTTTGTTATTTTTTGTAGCAATATCTCATTTTGTTAGGTACTTTTGTTTGATTTTTATATAGAGCTGGACGAGAAGCACACAAGAATATAAATATTGTGCTATTTGTTGCTATATGCACCGTTCGAGAGAACATCAACCCACTTCTCCGCTGTCATTTACATATCGGTAGGAAGTATATCGGGTATCAAATATTTACACAACTCGGTCTCGTCATTAACAAATACCACCTTCTTTGCGGTATTGTCATCAATCAATTGGCGTATGAGGGGCCAGACCGTTGAAAACAAACCCGGCGAATTGATGATTAGACAAACGCCCAAACGTTCGGGATAGTGTCGCGACAATAGCCATATCAAATTCTTAACCAACTGCATGTCCAGGCAGTTCATATTGAATTCGGCCAAGTCAAACACAATGCACAGTCTGTCCGTAACTTCCTCAAAGCATTTCTTGCAAGCCTCCTCCAAACATTTCACTATGAACTTCGTCAATTCATCGATGTCACGCTCACTGTTGTGATTCTTGGCTGGTATGTATATGACCGGTCTTCCGATGCAATCTCTGTGGCGCAATACTCTGGCCTTATCTTTATACTGTTCCAATGACGTATTGTTTTCCAAAGCCTCGACACCGTACTGCTCCCGCCATTTGTTTGTCTTCAATATGGCCTGCAAAGTGAAAGCAATGTCATTGAAGACCAATAAAAGGCATTGACGAAAAACAAGAAGAAGAAGAACAACAACGTACCTGGAAGGCTTCATCGACTGTTTTGAATGCCCGCAAATAACGTTTCAGTGAGAAATCGTTATGATATTGTTTGGGATCAGCCTGAGAAATTAAATTCATACGTTCCTTTAAGTCTTTCAAATCATTGGGATTAACAGGTGTTACTTCCTCCATATTGATGACGAGTACTTTGATGTTGTGTCTTTTTTCACTTTCTTCTTCTTTTTTCTGGTCGTCGTGATACTATCAAATGCCTTATCTGTCTGTTATCGTACAAAGAATAGAACAATTAAAACTTTATTGCAGAGGAGAAAAAATTAATAATTTTCTCTTCTTTGGAGGTGACAATTTCAAAGATATCGATGGATATCGTAATCATTGTGGTTAATCGATATATACGAAATATTTAAAAGGTAGATAGAATGGTAATATTTGCTACGTAGATGTCGAAAAAAATTATAAAAATTAGTAGATTATTGCAGCAAAGGGAATAAGCAATATATTAGTACAATTTTACTTTTATAAATGCTTATAAACAATTGCCTGAAGTGGCAGTGCGACAAGAGGTAATTCCTACGAAAATTGCAAGCATCGGATAAAGCGATGAACACGCTAGCACTGGTCAGTAATCGATAAAAAAGCTGCCACTCAAAAGTGCTGGTGTGTACACCGCTTAAAGGAATATTACATGGGTCGATAATTAACCCGTTACCGTATTCGAAAAGTTGTTAAACCTTTCGTATTTATAACGGAATATTGGCAGGTACCTATGTGGTTATAGTTCAATATGTTATGTTAGGGATGTACGGTTGAACGGATGCTAATGTTCACTCAGATACATTTGTCCCTTGTGATCATCCTTCAATACTTCGAAATTTATATTCAATGGTGTATATACATATTTAAAAAGTGAACGAATAGTGAAATCAAGAATATACTAGTTTTTACTATTTTGTTCGATATCATAAAAAGTAGTAGATTCTTGCAGTACGGTAAACCCAAAAAATTGTACAAATTACCGAAAAAATATCGAAAAAAAATTCTTGCAGTATGGGAACAGACCAAAACTATATTTTTTACATATTTATATATGACCTGTTACTGTACTGTAATAATCTACGAGTTTTCAATATTTTTTCGATATCATAAAGGAAAAAAGTGTTATTGTAGTAAAAAATAAAATATTTATTAAAAATTGGCCTGTTCCCGTACTGCAAGAATCTACTATTTTTTCCGATATCTTAAAGGAAATATTGTTATCGTAGTAAAAACTAGGAGATTCTTGCAGTACGGGAACAGACCAAATGTAAATAAATATTAATTGACATTTCCATAGTTAAATCTTGAGAATGTGGAACTTTATGCCATGTTCTGACGGGCATTCGAACAACGTAGTTCGCTCTCAGAATTACGTACATGAATTAACCCGTTCATACGACACTATTTTTAATTCATGTCATCAGAGTTTTTTATTTCAAACTTTTGGTTTCTTGTTTTACACAAAAATTGTAACATATTTACGTGAATCACACATATATCTAAATAGAAAAAATAATGCTCTTTATCCTGACTATAGTATGAACCCATATCTATTTACTTTTAATTCATGTTTTCCATTTTTTCTGAAAATATTGTGGTTTTAAATATATTTTCGAATTTTCTCAATTCAAATGTCACATATGTATATGTAAATAAAAAATTGGAGAATTTTTGTTTGGGTTTCCCCACATTTGTTTCTCGTTTTGTACGCAAATTAGAACAAAAGGGAAAGAAATGCATATTGCATTATGTAGATTACAAAATTTACTTCCTTCTGCATATATAAAAACTATACAATTTTTTACTTTTCATTCATCATTTTCAATTTTACTGAAAAAGTTTGAAGAATTTATAAATATTTTCATGCTGTCAAAATTAATTTATTTTCGATAAATTCTCTCATTTTTTAGGGATGGGACAAAATTCTTGGTTATTCAGAGAGTGATTCGAATTGAACAACGTACAAAAGTCGGTGTTCGCTCAGACAATTTTGTATGGGGAACTATGTAATTACTTCATAATTAGGGGTCGAACAACGAATGAGAGAGCGAACGACGCTCGTCTGTACATGGCATTAGAAAATATAACTTTTTAATTTGATGAAAATGTGCACACAATTGTATGAAATTAATTTTTCATTTTAATTGAAATTTATAGATGAGTTACAAACTCAAAAGGTTTGCCATTATCAATTTCTTAAATGATACAATATTTTGTACTCTTTTAACATATAATACTTTCAAATGTACACTAGTTTTCTGTCGGTAAATTTGAATGATATTTCAAATATCATCAGTTTAACACAGTAATCGATACTTTCGATAACACGAAAAACCAAGAAAATGTGAAAAAAAACAACAAAAATGATTAGAGAGATAGAGAATGAGGGAACCAACAATGGATAAATTTGTCAATTTGTCAAAAATCGAATTGTATAACCCTAGTTTCCTCGTGTTTTGTCGTTCGTTTGTCATCATCAGTCTTGAATTTATTTATAACAACACAAAAATATTAAATTTTAACACGGAACTTGGACGAAATTCGAATCGTTATTCTCGAAGGCCCTACGACAATTGTTAATTGTGCCAAGTGGAGCTAGGCTGGACATTGCATACGCATTTCCAATTGTGCAAAATCGCGTGTATACGGGCTGATTTTAGTGTGTATTGTGTGTTTGTATGTAGAGTGTGCTGGACACAGAGCCAATCCAATCCATCTCGATGTAAATTACAATCAGCAGCTAAAAAGCACACTGATTGATTTGGTTGGTAGTGCTCGCTGTACTCTGCTGCTCCTCCTCCTCCTGCAAAATAAAAGCCAACATTCATCGGATCCGTATAAAAACAAAAGACTTCCTCGTAAACTCTTTCAGTGTGGCAGTTCCGCGTCAACGCATAATAATTGTTGAATAGAAAATTCAGAAGAGATACCAATTCTCAAGGTCTTTGAAGCAGCTTTTTAGCTGCGCACGCATTTAGAAAAATAAATTTGGTCGTGTTTTTGGATCACACTGCTGGCGACAACAGACTATCAAAAAACTTAACAACAAAATAAGTGAACAAAAAACCAAAAAATATAAGGAAGACAAAAGCAAGAAAAATAGAAAAAAAAACTAAAAACGAAAAAATAATTGTCACCGTTCTTTGTTGAGGTGGTGTATGTGATTGCTGGTGCTGCCGCTGCTACTGCTACCATCATCAACCAACACCACGAATTCAACGTGAATTCGATTCTTGCCCTGCTCTCCACGTTCGTTATTTCATTTTCCCATAAGAAAATATCTGGTGCAACAATTCAGCATTATGGCTGACGTGAGTGACCCCAGTGAACTCTTTGTTCTCGAACTCCACGAGGACGAGAATCCCCGTGATTCAGATGATGATAAAATTGAATTGGACGATGTAAGTAGCAAACAAATAACAACGCATTCTAAAAATGTTTTCTTCTAACATTTACCCTAACCAACACGAATGACAACAGCAACAACAACAACATCAAAAACCATTGTCCAAACAAGACACACAACGAACTTGTCAAGACCCAGAGAAGAGCAGCCAGCAAAGCTACTCAAGAATACAACAACAAAAAACGTGCTGCTGCTCTTGTCAATTCTTAATTACGTATTTACAGACAGACCGACACACCGAACAGAAACTGCTGAGTAACAACAACAACAACAAAAAACGACAGCGGCGACAAAGACGTCGTCAGCGACGACGACGAAGACAACAACAGTACACGCTCGTACGAGCGGACGGACAACAACAAAAACAAAAGAATAAGAATTAATAATAATACCAACAAAACTTGATCAATTTGTGATTGTCGCCTTCGCATAAATATTTATTAGAAATAGAAAACAAAAACGCATTGAATTGAATGTGAATAAAAAGAAACAGAAAGCGAGCGAGTTTATTTCGAAACACATTTGTGTGGGTCAAAATAAAAGTAACGCAGCAATCTTCTTTCTTGCATTCTTCCAATTGGAATGTCATTAACCCAATAAGAAAAGCATCAGGTGTAGACGACAGGAATAATGGGCATAGATAGATTCGTTTATCAATATTAATGTAGTTGTGTGTGCAGTTCAAAAAGAAATACACTTCTTCTGAATTGAAAACAAAAACAAAAAGCTCCCAAAAACAATCTAGAAATTTTGAATCGCCTTGAGACAATTCAATAAAAAATAAAATATTCTCATCAAAATAATTGGTGGTCGGTCGATTGCAAAAAATTAAATTTGATTTTTTTTCTTCAAATAAAACACTAATTTCATTTGACGGTGGTGGTGACCATGATGACAATTATTTTTTTGGAAACAATTAATGAACAAATTATTGTTGTTGTTAAATCATATAACATGAAGCATGTGTGCGTGCAAGTGCATGCAGAGAGAGAGAGAGAGCGAGTATGAATTAAGACTGTTATTCTGTTTGAGCAGAAAGTCTAGTAGTAGAATAGGACATTATCGGATTAAATACCCCAACGGACTGGACTGAAGAAGTAAACGTATAAAGCATATATATATATACCATCACGAATCTTATATTTAATTAATATTTGTCAGGCGTAGCGGTAGAAATCATAAACTAAGTACCACAATACAAGTATGGAGGAACTCAATAAATCATTTTGGGGCATATAAAACCATTGAAATACGGGTAAATAACATTGAATTTGAATTTATAAATAGGTTCTATAGAACGAGGTCCTGGTAATCACTAATTATTTGAATTAAACCATAGATATCAGTTACAGTCAAATATAAAAAGGAACTGAAACGATAATAGAAGAAATCGCTCTCGTTTGTATGTTCTCCTCGGTGTATTTACAAATAATTGATTTGTGTGACATAAGTTAGAAAACTATATTTCTGAATAGTAAATCATTTTTAATAATTTCTAAGCAAAACTTGTTTTAATCGAAAATATGTTTTAAAATCTGGCTATTTCGTATAGAGTTACCCCAAAAAATATTTGAAAATAGGAGACAGATATACCCATTATAGAATAATATTTATGTTCGATTTGTTTTCTATTCTTAAAGTGAGCTAAGTATTTTCCCCTACTCTCCTCTTCATCTTTCAATTGCATATTATTTACATCGGTTAGATTGATCCCCTATCCCTTGATCCTGTTAATGTTTCAAAATTTAAGTTTTAATATTGTTGTTGAATTATATACAATTCAGTTCAGTTCGCATTTAAAAAATATGCACTTATCCGAATACCCTTCCACATTTAAAGTCGATCTACAAACAAATTTATGACGTGCTTTGTTTAATATATTTTAATTGCGATATTATAATTTTTGTTTGAAAATACAACATTTTAGGTTAGTTTATTCCCAAATACATATAATAGTTATCGATACTATATAATTGTTTTATATATATTAGCATTAAAATATTTATTTCTAAGAATGTACCTATATGGCACATTGCTACTATTCGACAAGATCCGTCAAGTTGTTGTGCATTATAAGCAGTATTGTACCAATCTAAATTGAGATTAAGTGCGAGAGGGCGGTACTTATAGTTCATTTTCAAAAACGACTGACGAAAAAAGAATACGGGCTTAGACACCGATGCTACAAATTTTTCCATAATTGTTTTGGTTATTCTTATTTGCAAGGTTTGCTTTCATATATGACATTCCCACCTGCCAAGGTTTTTAAGATGGTGCTTTAAGATATTCTTTTAATTACTTCCACGAGTTTTGCGTCTCTTGTATCCTGCCCTTCATTGGATAGATCCTCTTCCGCAAAGTTGCCTCATTGTTCTTTATTTTTCGTTTTAAAGCTCTGAGAAAAAATATTAATGTGCATGATCTACCAGCAGAACCAATATGTCAATTTTGTAAAAATGGCCTCAATAGCAAAACCGAATGTCGGTCTGTGGTGTAGTATCTACTCTTGGTAGATTATGAGGTAATCATATTAATATTTTGTATAGATTATGAGGTACTAGTATTATCTGGATATATTTAGAATAATATACTGAATCGACGTACATATGAGTATATTAGTATTATTCTAATTACGATTAAATTTCGTTTTTTTCTATGTTGCCCGGTGTTTGTTGTTGAGCATTTGTGGGACTCGCCTTATTCATTCGAAATGTGTTATTTTCACATATTTTCCATGGATTTATTTAAGAGATATCAAACATATTCTTGGCATATGTTGTTCCCAAAAATGTATCTATATTGATACAATTTAACAAATAAATTATTTTTAATTATTTTCTATTATATTGGCAAGTAATATAATTTACAACTTTTATTTCATAATTCTAGATAACTTCTCTTCCTTCTATATCTCTACAATGGCAGACATTCCGTTATCATGCCTATCTCTAATTAAATAGTGATTTTTTTTTTGTATTTGTTCCAACTATTCCATGATAACATTTATATTTCCTCTTGGGGAAGTTTGGTTCCATTAATCACTCGGCATTATCAATTCTGTATATTTTCCCACGAAATAATTACCATTTCATGTGTTCTACTCGACATAACATTTGTAACAACACACAGACTATTGGGTTTGATTTTTGTGCGAAATCCTTTGCAGCAATACTGATAAGAATCAATAAATGAATGAATGTTAAGGTGTTAAATGAGTGATATACACCTTTACCCCCACATTTTTTATATGAAGATAGATCGCAGTGATGTGGTAAAAGCGAAATAGACATAATGGAGCTCTTATTAGTAATGTAAATAACATTTTATTGTGTCTGGATCTTCACCCCAGCAAATACAAAAAGACCCAATGCATATAGTTTGAATAAGAGTGATTGAATCCCCCCATAATTGTATTTCCGTTATCAAAAAAAGTAGTGTTTCTGTAGACCAACCACGTACAAAAAACACTCATATCAGTCTAAATGTGATTAGTGTATGTCTGACGACTAACCCTTGCTGTGCACTTCACCGGGAACGTCTAACCACTCATAAATCTATAGTTTGTTAAACTATTTACAAAATAAAAAAAAAATTAAATATTATTTTCACTTTACTCAAAATCTTATCAAGTCGCTGTGTTCTCTCTTATTGTGGAACATTTTGTTAGGCAATAATTGATAAGAATTTATTTTCGAAAAAATAATTCCTTCCACTTTTTCTGTACGTTCCTAGTCTAGACCAACCGGTAAATAATTGTAGTTTACAAGCTGGTGGAGGGGTAGGGAATTTTGATATGTTAATGCTTGTGTATTTATCTTGCACCATTCTAAGTAAAAGTATTTTAACAAATACACACAATATTGTTAAAAAATTTCAAAATTTTACAGAATTTAAAATTAATAAATTTTGGTTTATATATATATATATATATATATATATCGTCAGCTAAAATGCAAAAAGGCGTAACTAACAAAAAATTGAAAATTGACTTTTTGAATGAATATTGTAAATGTCAATAAACTACATGTGTTGACAAAGTTTTACACGTCTGCGGTCAAAACAGGAGCTTCTATTAACAAAAAACAAAAAGACGTAACTACAAGTGGGTTTATTTGATAAATGCAAAAAGGCGTAACTAACAAAAAATTTACGTTTTTACTTAATTGTTATAACTACCATTAAACTAAATAACTAAATTTGTTAAAGAAATTATAGTCTATTATTCGTCATATGCAATATCACCCTGCCGGGCACACTTTTCCATTTCACATGACATGTTTATAGTTTTCATTCAAAACAGTTTTTTGCTTCTCCTACACAATTATGTTTTTGTTAGTTACGCCTTTTTTGCATTTTAGCTAAAGATATATATATATATATTTCGTTAGCTAAAATGCAAAAAGGCGTAACTCACAAAAAATTGAAAATTGTCTCTTTGAATAAATATTGTGAATGTCAATAAACTACATGAGCTGACAAAGTCAATTTCAATTTTCAATTTTTTGTTAGTTACGCCTTTTTGCATTTTAGCTAACGATTTATAATTGGGGTCACATAATGACCTGGTCCAATAAAACAGTAATAAAACATTTAAATCGAACTTAAAGTATATCATATGTATATTCAGTGTAATGGTTACATTTGCACCTATTTATTAAAATTTATAAAAAAAAAATTATAAAATAAAAAATTTGAAGGCTGACTGTACTTCATAAATGTATGTGTGGGGTTTACAATAAGTATTTGTCAAGAATTTCCATAACCAAAAGCCCGATTTCTTAAACGATCCTTTAAAGGTATCAAAGAAGATTTTAAAGAATATAATTTGAAGTGAAAACAGAGATGTTTACAGACAGCAGCTCAGGTATCATTTTTGATAAATATAATTTAAAGAGCATGGATTAAAAAAGAGCTTATTAATAAACAACAGCTGATATAAAAACGTGTTCTCATCATTATTCGTTATCAAAAAATTTGAGACAGCAATCCAAATGATATCGATATATTACATACAACACCTTTTAACATTAAAAAAAGCTAAATACGTTATAGATATCATGTCTTAACACAAAGTCTGCACCTATAATATGTTTTTTTTTTATTTTTCAAATGCAATATGACATGTTAATCTGTGTATTCATCACTCTCTCTCCCTACCTCTCTGCAATATTTTGTCATAATGAATTATGACATGGATCTTATATGATGTGGTGGTGTGGTGATGTATCGATATGTAAATTCCATAAACAATTCGACAAATTTGTCTATGGATTACATTGTGCATTAATATGGTCGGTGAACAATACTGTTTTTTCTAAATATTGGAAAATTATTATTTATGACAGTGGGTAATATATAAAACTTGTTCTCGATTAATGATGGTTGGTCTAAAATTCGTGTTCGTATTGTAAATTATGATTAGCATGTTAATAAGTGTTTTTGTTTATCTACTCGATGAGTGCGGGAAAGAGAGTCAAACTCGGAATACATGAATTATTATATTGGAATTAATCTAAGACAAAAAGTAATCGCATCGATTTTTATCTCGATATTTTTTAATATATTTAACAATAAATTATTGTTAAAACTGCGATTTTCTCTTATCATTGATTTTTAGATAACACATTTTCTATTACTACATTTAGCTAATATTGTACTGTATTTATTAATACGCAAATCGTCTACATATATTGTAACACACGTAAATCAATATTGTAATTTACAATTTGTGCAATATTTGTCTGAGACATGAGACCGATAGACAGACATACTAAACTTTATTTTAAATATTGCGATTTCCCACACCATTCTTTTTGACTCTAATTAAATTAATTAATATACAAACGACGGCAACGGCATCATACTAATGAATTTTATTTTGTTTTGTTTCATTTTAGGTTGATCTAGAACCGGAATTAAGCATAAATTTACAACAAGAGTAAGTTGTGCACTATATATAATTTATGCACACACACAATCACATAAACATATTTATACGATTTACAAATGACTGCCAATTAAAAATAACATTTGATTATGACTGGACGAAATGTCTACAAGATTTAAATTCCAAATCTTTGTAAAAGTATTTATTTTTATAATATAATAATTGCCTCCGGAATTGTCTGCTTCAAGATTAAATATCTCGCTGCTATTGCAGTGCAAATTATTGTGCTAAAACCGAAAGATCTTCTCTCCACCTATTTTACGAGGTAGAAAAAAAACTGGTTGTTGATTTTTTAGGATTACCATTTAATTTTAGAATTTTTAAGTGTAAACACCAATAAGAATTTCTCTAGACAATTTCCTTGTTTGCAGGGTTACTTTTTCTCTAGCATCCATGTAGAATTTACATCGATGTAAGATAAACTTCTTAACTGATGTTTTTTTTTAATAAGAAGTTTGGATATCCCCATTCATATGGGTATTGTGTGAAATGAAATGTTAGAAAAACTTGTGGGGGTTAGAACCACTTATTATAATGACGTCAAGGATGGATCTGGTTTGGATTTTTAAAACAGTTTCATGTTACCTATAAAACAATCTATTATTTTTTAGAGGACAAAGAATATATTAATTCCTGCTCTTCGTGGGCCAGCCAACCAGTAGGTACAAAAGGGACTTAGTGATAGTCGATATTGAATACAAAAAGCTCATATTATATCATAAAATCAATATAAAATAAATCCTAAAATAATATTTTATAATTCACAGAGCCGAAGGACAAGAGACTATACAATTGTCTGAAGAAAATGTTAATCCCGGTAAAATAAAGCTTGGACCAAAAGATTTTGAATTGAAAAAAGTTTTGGGTAAAGGTGGCTATGGCAAAGTATTTCAGGTATGCATTATTCACTTAAATAACTACTTTTACTAAATAAAATATTAACTAACATTTTGTTTTTGTTTCAATAGGTCCGCAAAACATCTGGCCGCGATGCTAACAAATATTTTGCCATGAAAGTATTGAAAAAAGCCTCCATAGTCACAAATCAAAAGGACACAGCCCATACGCGTGCCGAACGTAACATTCTTGAGGCTGTCAAACATCCATTTATTGTCGAATTAGTCTATGCTTTTCAAACAGACGGCAAATTATATTTGATTCTAGAATATTTAAGTGGTGGCGAACTATTTATGCATTTAGAACGTGAGGGTATATTCTTGGAAGATACAACATGGTAAGAAAGAGAATAATTATGTTTTGTAATTAACTATTTAACCTATTTTGTTGCAGCTTTTATTTAAGTGAAATCATTATGGCATTGGGCCATTTGCATAAATTGGGAATTATATATCGTGACTTAAAACCGGAAAATATTTTATTAGATGCCCAAGGTCACGTAAAATTAACAGATTTCGGTCTCTGTAAGGAACATATACAAGAGGGCATTGTAACACACACATTCTGTGGCACCATTGAATACATGTAAGTAAATGTACATTGTCTGATTTGAAGTATATACTATAATGTTGTTGTTTTATTTTATTTGTAGGGCACCAGAAATTTTGACTCGTCGAGGACATGGTAAAGCCGTTGATTGGTGGTCATTGGGTGCTCTGATGTTTGATATGTTAACTGGTGTTGTAAGTAGTTTTTTTATTATAAATAATATGTAATTTCAACATCCTGCAAATAATACAATAATTATATATCGAAATAAGAAACTAGTAATTTGTTTAAGTTCACATTTCAATTTTATTCAACTTCAGAATCATAGTTAACAGTTTCTACTTAATTCAAATTTCCATTGATTCAAGGAATCATTTAAATTTATTGTAAACTATTTAAGTCACACGTTATAATCTGAAATATTTTAATTGAATTGAAATTTGAGCTGAATTTTGTTTTAAGAACATTATTTAATGTATTAAAATATTTTTAAATTTTTTAGCCTCCCTTCACCGCTGAGGATCGTAAAAAGACCATAGAGACTATTTTAAAAGCCAAACTAAATTTACCAGCTTATCTAACACCAGAAGCTAGAGATTTAGTACGTCGCCTAATGAAACGCCAAGAGTCACAACGTTTGGGTAGTGGCCCCGAAGATGCAGCTGCCGTCCAAGCACATCCCTTCTTTAAACATGTTAATTGGGATGATGTATTTGCTAGACGTTTAGATCCACCAATTAAACCATTATTGGTATGTTCGACCACTTCGTGGAATATTTAATAGGAGTTGCAATTGAAATGTGTTTATTTTTCTTCTATTACAAAATACAGCGCAGCGAAGATGATGTGTCACAATTTGATACCAGATTTACAAGACAAATACCCGTAGATTCTCCAGATGAAACAACTCTTAGTGAAAGTGTCAATTTAATTTTCCAAGTAAGTACAAAAACATTTTGCAAACAATTTTAAAGAAGTGATCGATTTTGAAAACATATACAAACCTAAAAAAATATACATCGATGAACGTCCTCTGTAAATGTTGGGTCGATAAATAATTATTCAAAATGTTCTTCCAAATTTCATTTAATACATGCTCATGCTCTGCTCATATTGATGCTCTACACCCTAGTGTAATGAATATTCTTCGAAAATTATACTCAACTGAATTCTATTTGCCACGATTTGTAAAGAGAAATCTTCCTTATTCTCTGTTAATATCGCTTATTTCTTATGGTATAGAAGTTGTATCTGGCACCACACATGAGCATTTTAACAAAATAGAAAAATTGTTCCATATGGTTGTAAGGTACGTTTATAATTTACGTCGATCAGATCATGTTTCAGCTTATGCGGCTGAATTTCTAGGAGTACCGTTTTCTGTTTTCGCAAAGAAAAGAGTTATTTCATTTCTATATAAATCTGTCACTTTAGATCTTCCCGGTGTCCTGCGTGATAGACTTGTTTTCTCTAGATCTACCAGGAACACTCAGTTAATTTTCCCGCGCTATTCCACTTGTTTATATGAAAGATCTTTTATTATTCGTTCGTCACGTTTGTGGAATCAACTTCCTGTTGAACTACGACATTTTTCTTTTTCGCGCAGTGTATTTCAACGCAAGTTTGTAGATTTTGCTGTTAATTACATGCTGGACTAATGTATTTTTTAATTTGTTTGGTAGATGCGACTTTATTCAGTTCTTTTGCTTAGATATTACCAACAATAGTCTTTACTGCTTTATTTTTACATGGCTGGGGAGCCTTTTCTGCTTTGTAGTTTGTTAATTAAAATCCATATATTATGTTAGTATATGAACTGTTTAGTTTTAAAATGAATTTAAATATGCTTTAAAGTTTGTTACTTAGAATTCATAATTTATATTAAGATATATATAGCTATAAGATACGTTTTATAATGTGAAGTACACTTTTGTAGTTTTGGCATGTTGCGATATTTATTGGCCAGATGGCTTTTTCGTGGCAATAAAATAAAAAAATAAAAAAAATACATGCTCAGAATGTTGATATAACCTTGAGCATCAAACTATATATTTAACATGCGATTTGAAGGAGTATATATTTTAGGAGAGTAAGATCAATGATTTAGGGACGGTCATAAAGGAATCTTGCAAGTCGTGTATTCAAAGGCTCGCATTCACGCTCACAGGGCTCATATCACTTCTGTTTCTTTGTTATTCCAAAAACGTCTTGAGTTCTTTTTATATAAAAATGTATAAAAATAGATTTATTTTTATTATCAACAATTTTCCAAATAACAGAACAGTTGAACAATATATAAGAGTAAAATAATTGTCTAAAATAAATAAATACCACCAACATAATAAGCAGTAACAAATTAAAATACTGTCATACACACTAAAACACATGAGCTTATCTATAGGAGGCGCCACATTGAAAATGTGGTTCTTTCAGTGGTATACCAGTTGGTCCATCGGTGTACTCGCAAAAATTCAAACCGATACGCCTTAATGGATGACATTTACTTTTCGGGTTACCCCACTTGCCTTTGAATGAAAGCCAAGTGGGTGTCAATGAACGTCCTGAAAATAAAACTGGATTAGATTTTTATTTTACAAAATATCAAATCGTTTTCCAACCAACCATATGATTTTAAATTTTCGTATGTTATTGTGACACTTTTCCAAGTATTCCATGGTGTACCGAATCCATTTATATCATATAAACGAGCGACTTTGACAAAACGATGTTTTCCAGGTGCTGTCCATAAACCATGGGAACCCTGAGAAGAAATGTTGTGTTGTTTTTATTCGAAATATTTCATAAATTATCTCCCTTACCTTTGCTGCAAATAGAACGGGATGATCATTAAAGGTCGTTACAGTTTTTGGAAAATTGGGCCTTTGTAAAATACCCTTCCTTGTCTCCTGTCTTTTAAATTCAAAAGAGCCTGTCAGTCGATTATATGTATAATATGCACCTGCGTCATGTGCTGAAACATACATGGCTTCCGGTTCCGCTGCTCCAGTAAAATACAAAGTCATATGTTCCCAGTCACCAATATGACTGCCAATGTCTTTCTTTCGTCCCAAACAGTACCCATAGACGGCCGGAAATGGTATGCGACCAAATGGTCCCAATTTCAATGTACACATATTTTTGCCCTGACTATATGGATAGAACATCCAGTAGGTGACATGAAATGAAGGCACCGGAGTACCTTCTCTATAGGCAAATGTTTGTTGTGGTTTATTTTCATTGGCCAATACATTTTCCTGTTCATTGATAGGTATACTGAATTTGACATTATCCGATAAATTGGCAATAAAATTATTAACATTCTCATTATTGTCTGTGGCATCGGATTCCTTTTTTGCTACTGCAATTGGTGCTGTTAACATTTCAGATGCTGGAGCACTTTCACCCATTACCAAATCGAATGGTGTAATTGGTAATTGGGGTGTTGCTAAATTGTTGGGATATACGGGAGTAATGTTACGTCTAACCCTCTTGAAAAGGGGATACAAACGAGACGAACGTCTTATGGTGTTGTTGAATTGGTCTTGTGGTCCCAGTGTCACTGGTATGTAGGGTCCTCGTGTGGCTTTAGTAATTTCCACAGGTGTGGGCGCATATCTTTGTTGTTGTACTAAGGCTAAAGGGACAACTGGTGAACCGGCAGCAGGACCATGTATAGGAGGTGCAGCATAGTTTATTGGGTTTATAGGCGGTTGTTGTAAATTTATATTTGCTTGGTTAAATGTCGGTTCCGTATTTGGTAAGGGTAATTGTTCCGTGTGACATAATGTAACCACAGCATATATGGGAACTGGCGATACATTTGGATTACGTCCATATATAAATGATGTTTCGTTTTCCAATAATTGATCTTGAATGTACATGAATGTAATTTTTTTTAATAAATTACCTTGTTTGTACTATCAAAATAAACTGACTTACCAATTTCTGCATTTGTTACCAAATATGATTTCTCCGAATTCTCACCAAATGATATTCCCGGTGTAAACGAGTTGTCTTTGCTCTCAGGATGTACATGCGCCAAGAATTCCTCTACTCCCAATGGCATAAATTTCTCTTCCGGTGCCAACCATACCACAGGTGCCCATTGTCTGATAAGTCGCTCCACTTATGATAAATACAAAAAGTTTTATTTTGAAGTAAATAGAAGTTTTATTTTGAAAGTAAATATTGTGTCTCATGCAACCAGTTATAATTTCGCCTATAATTCCTATATAACCTATTGTAACGAATTCTGAAAGACAGTGGATGTTTCCCTTTCCCAATATGGACTATTAATTGCAAAACTCAATTTGTAAATTACGTCTTTGCATATTAGGGATCATTTTTGATGAGGCACAATATACTCTCAAAGGTTTGCTTTCGCAGTTTTAAAATATGTTTCAGCCAATCTCGACTCGATTGCATAATTATGAAAAATCAAAGCTGATAAGTAGTTACTCACATAAGACATGAGGTATTCATAGCAATTTACCAACGAAGGTCCACGTTTTGTCATATGTATTTCCATTGAAAATTATCGTTAGATTTAAGGTATAGAACTTTCGGTATATCAACATAAATCCAACAAAGAAAAATGCCCATTATATAATTAATTGTTGTGATCAAACGAATTGTCTACAGTTTAGCATTTCTTGTTATCAACAGGTTAAAAACTGTACTACAATGTTACCATTGTCGTTCTATATATAATGAAACTAATTTTTGTGTCCAATAAAAAAGGATGCATGTCTTTCTTTTTGACTCAATGGCGGATTATTAAATCTTTTTAATTACACAAAAATTCTTCATAATTAAAATGGTTTACTACTATTTTTTTTTTTTTTTTTTTGCAATTTTGTTTGGAAATGTGTTTGCATTAACTAATACCTGCATGGTGTAATAGAAACATATTATATTTCACAAATCTAAACCTGTTTAAAAAAAGAGATTAACCGTTTATTGTTAGGTGTTACAGCACAAACAGCAAACGGAAAAAATTCACTTAACCCATTTTCAATTTCATGATGTACCTTTTTGATAATTTGAAATAAAAAACAGCAACCAAACTTGTTCCTAATTCATAATAATAATATGTTTTATATAGAGCGATTTTGATTAGCTTCCATTTTATGGACATCAATTAACACAAGTTGTTGTATTTGTAATGTAAAGAGCACCTCAAATCAAACCCGAAAACAAATATTTAAACAAAAAGAAAAAAATTAGTCATGCACAGAGTGTGAATGACTGACTGGTTAGTTTGGCTGTGCCTGTCTGGATGGTCAACAGTAGAGGTAACAGCAACGACGACGAAAAATCCAAATAAATTTCACTTTCACGCAATGTAGACAATTTTAAGTTTTTTTACTGTGTTACTTCTTGGTCGTTTGCCGTTGTTGTTGCTGTCTTTTCTTGCAGATTAATGTACATATTTAAATTATCTTTATATTTATCATCAATAAACCCATGGATACAGTAGCATACCTACTTCTTTATCAATATCTTGCAATGCTGCATATTGACGACGTCCTTTATTTTGTAGTGATGTTAGATTTTCATTTGCCAAATTTTCTATGGATAGCTGGGCATTGCTGGTATCTCTGTTATAAATCTTATAAATATTATTGGCATTTGTGTGTTGCTGCTGCTTTTGTTGTTGTTGTAGATATAGACCCTCATCAAGTGGTGTTTGTGCAAATGCCGGATTCACAATAAACAATTGTGTAGCCAATAGACACCACCACCAGCACCAACCAGACCAACATCTAATGCTGTTGTTGCTGTCATAACTTTTACCATTTCTTGCAAACTTAACATTAACAGCAGTGCTGCATATTTGTTGCTGCTGACATGAAAGTACTGGAAACTGGCAATATTGAAGGCGTTTTGTCTTTTTGTAGTAGATGTTGTTGTTTTTACTTTTGTTATACCAATATGTTTGACAAGTGTCGTCTGCTATTTTACACATATTTTGTTGATGTTATCCTTTTTATGGGTTATTTTGCGATTTTTGCGAACGTAATCAGCTATGCATTTCTAGCGCTATGCCTTTGTAGTTAATTATTGGCACGGAACTGTTAAAAATGGAAATAGTTTTGGTTGTATTAGTATTTTGTCTTTTCGTAAAAATACACCTAGGCCTATGTTATTGAAACGAATCCAATTAAATGTTGTGTATATTTATGTTAGGAATTCGAGTTATTTTCGAGTTTTTATTGTTATTCCGTTTTGAAAAATCACAAAATACAATTTCTGGAGTAGTCATAATCCAATTAATCAAAATCTGTTTAATTTGCATATATAATTTGCAATATATACATATATATAATTTTAAATTGGTAAAATATTTTTTTAGTAGTCCACTTTAAAAAAATGATAAAATTTATATTTAATTGTGAAATGTAGTTTACAGTCTTAAGGTCGAAAGACTGGGCAACATGGAATATAAATTAATAAAAAATATGTTCATTTGTGATTCCATCTATTCTAAATAGATTTAACTTTTTTAAAATAGATTATCAGATACTTATGTTCTCCATCTCTTCTTAATGAAATGTTCTTTTATGAGTCAAAAGACATTCTAGCTTCTAACAGAGTTATATGATATGCATAGTATATTATTTCAATATCTTCCAATGGCATAAATTTCTCTTCCGGTGCCAACCATACCACAGGTGCCCATTGTCTGATAAGTCGCTCCACTTGTGATAAATAAAAATACAGAAGTTTAATTTTGAAGGTAAATATTGTGTCTCATCCAAATAGTAATAATTTCGCCTATAGTTCATATATAACCTATTGTAACGAATCCTGAAAGACAGTGGATGTTTCTCTTTCCCAATTTGGGCTATTATTTTATGAGTCATAAGACATTTCTGCTTCTAACGGAGTTATATAATATGCATGGAAGATGGAGATTATAGGTCCACTCATTGTGGTACCTGCATTGGTGAACATGTTGAAAAGAAAAAATTCTAATATCATGCAAAAGAGTATTGGATTTGATACATGCTTGGTAAATCGTCATATTTACACATAACATATGTAAGTGTTACAAACTTACGATACAATATAAATATTGGACCCCCATATTCACAACTTTTTGTTGTTGAGTAAAATTTACGAAGTGTATGGGATTAATCACTGTACTCAAATGTAAATGGCCTTTTAAGGTCATTAATATTTGATAAAAAAAAATTCCCTAATGGAATTTGAATATAAAATTTAAAGCTACAGTTATTAGTATTACAGTTATGCGGAATCCTCTGTAGCGTTAATTATGTTTTCTCTTAACAACTAACTTTTCCAGTTGTAATACCCAATAACACAAATTATTGCCCTTAATCTCAAAATTAAATTCAACATTTTTTAATACCTACATAAAATAAGACCTAAGTGAATTTCAATTTTTAAATTGTATGTATTTTGAAATTTCCCAATATATTTTCTGTGTGTTTAATAAATATTCGATGGTGATATTTTTCTCAATACCCAATAACTCAAATGCTTTCCTTAATCAAACAACTAAATCCAATCCAAATCTAATTGATAATTTTCCAAAATCCTACATAAAATAAGACCAAAGTGTGTGTATTTATATTTTAATTGTAAATTTATATTTCCCAATATCAATTCCCTTTTTGTTTTATAATTATTTGATAATGATGATCTCTTCGAAAAAAAACAAACGATTTTTTTATTGCTATTGTTGTTGTAAGATTATATAACATTTTGCTTCATTATTCATTGATTGGATGAAGATGTCTGCCTATTTTGTTGTTATAACATCCGAAAATCATCAAACAGATGAAACAAACAGCTCTTGTATTTTGAAATACCAACAAATGCAATAATGCTGATGTTGTTGTTGTTGTTGGACGCTTCACATTTTATTCATTAGGTTGTGACCACCGGCCAAAACAAAAACTAGACTTAGGCTATTGACTGTTGTTGGTTTCGGCAAAATCATAAACAATAGGTGGTGAAGTACTGTTCGATAGTGAGGGGTTTAGATCTTGTTTTGGGTTTTTGCTGTTTGTTTGTGAAAAGAAATTGCACTTTCGAATAAACATGTTTCAGGCCAATTTTTGGTTTTGTTTCGTTTGCTAACCAAAAGCTACAAACAAATATTCTTTTGTTTGCTTTTTGTTTAACTTGTCCCATATTGTGGAAAGTTTTTCTTTCATTCAGCATGGTTATAGCGCATATTCTTAAACTCACGTTCCAAAACGACCTCTTTTTATTACAGTTGTTTTTTTTTTTTACTTTTTGGCCAAAAAAAACTCTCTCTCCCTACTTTTTCTCTTTATTTTTATTGTGAGTACATTCTTTTATTAACCAGCACATGCTGGTTTGTTAAGTTTCATTTAAGCTTGTGTTGTGTTGTTAGTACATATTTTTTGAGCGGTAATTTTGCGGACCTTCTTTGCTTTTCAATATTTTGAACGAGGTTTATTTTTTTGATTGTTATTTATCAATGGGAGTTAATCCGTTATGTCTTGTAATTTCGCTTGCTGCTCATGCGCGCGTTTACCGATTGAATTGTATGCGTACGCGACCAACCGACCACCTTGAAAACAAATACCTTACTAAAGTAATGGATCAGACTTTATTAGCCATGAACCTCTCTTCTTTTGAAGACAAAACAAAAAAAATTAACACCACTATTTTGTTTCTTTCGTTTGTTTGTAGTCTTCGGTGTTTATGTTGTGACAACGTTTTCGTTAGTACCATATTTTCTTTTAAGCCAAGCAGTCAGTCAGTCAGCCAACCAGCCCAACTTTGAATTGCATTTCACACAATATAAAAAAAAAATACAAATTCCATTACACACCATCATGATGGTTAGTGGATGGATAGCTGAATGCTTGTTTCATTAGGGTATCATGTCTTTCTTTTGCTCTTTTTTCTTTGTTTTCTTCTTTTTAATATTTCAATAGTGGAAAAATTGTTCTTTTTTATTTTCTATTCATTCACATGGGAATTTATTTGATTGCCACTTGGTGGTTATTTCGCTTGCCAATTGTGTGTTTTGGTTTATAACACTTCCATGCCTCTCGATTATGTAAATTTTTGATATTACCCATTTCTGTTGAACTTTTCGTCTAGTTTTTTATTTTTTAATTTCTTTCAGTGATGATGATTATTATTCAGGTTTAGCACAGTTAATTAAAATGGTGGCTATATGCACACCACCAAGCATTACTGCCTTTAGCCGCCAACCGGCATTCGTGTGAAAATGAATTTAATTTCTTTACACGATTACACCAATGAAGGATGACAATTTATTATCTTTTGGAATACATAACAACATAACAAATTAAGACTTAGTTTCTCAACATGGTGACATCTGTGTGTTTTTTTTTTTTGGTTATTTGTTTTGAATAAAAAATTATGTTTGAAATTGGGTCTGCGGTATATAAAAAAGTGTATGTGGAGCTTCCTAGAATGGGTAGTACTAAAATGTAAAAAAAAAATAAATTAATTATTTATATAAATAATATTCAATTAATTCTATTCTCAGAATATAATCGTAAACCAAGCAAATAAGAGGATGTCTACTTTTACCCTTGGGGGGAAGGGTTCGTCTCACATGTCTTCGGCTACATGGTAGATATACTAAACATTTATAATGAATCAAATCGAATCGAACTTTGAACAGTGTTACAATTCAGAGCCAATAAGATTTCTGTAATATTAGATAGTAGACCCCCATACTAATACAAAAAAATTAAATTAAGATAAAAACATTATAATTAATTTTTATTATCAGTCTTATTTCATTTTGATCTTAATTAGGCTTGGCACTATTTTTATTTATTTATTTTTTTCTGTACTAAAATTTTCTGTTTGTTTTTAAGGTTTGTTTTTATTACCTTGAGTTATAAACGTAACCTGTTGTGTGTGTGGAGGGCGGCGGCTGTACAATTATTTTTGTTTTGGTATTTTTAAAATAATAAATCAAGGCTTACGCTTGACTTCAAATTTTGATAGCAGACCGAAAGAAAAACACACACAGAGACCACTGACACGAATATACATACGTATAAATATGTGTGCATAGACAATGTTAACAAGTATTAATATTTCATTTAATTAGTAGTAATAATTAGATAATTAGATAGAGATATATAGTAGGGGACTAGTTCAGAAGAAGAATATATAATTTGTTGCCACAAATGGATTATTTATAAAAATATATAAATATATATATTTATATAAATATCAACATTTATACTAAACAGGTGAACAAATTCCAGTTGATATATATTTTTTTAATTAATAATTAATTTTATCCAAATTTGTAAATTTCCACTTTCGGGATTTTTTTTTAAATATGCTAATTATAGCTAATTTTGTCCAGTTTCTCTTATTGTTTGACTTTATCTGACTTATAGTTTTTCGTCCACATGACTGCATTTATTAAATATAGTGGGTAGTACCACTATTATCCAAAATCAAAATTTTTTTTTTCGAATTCTCATTTGCTTAAGCGGCATATACATTAGAACTTTTTACTGGGTTAACCCACTTTATGAGGATTTATTTGACATATATACAAAGGAATTGGCAATTGAAACCCACTGGGTTAACGAAATCCGGTTAAATGTAAATGTACTATTACCGTTTTATCTTATTATTCTTACAGGGTTTTACATATGTAGCGCCATCCATATTAGAAGAGATGCATAGAGCCAATCGTATGCCGGCCCGTTCACCTAGACGTACTCCAAGACAAACACATGATGGTTCCTATCGTTTACAATATCCCATGGCCGCTGCTGCCGCTCAACGGGGAATGTATGCCAGAGCGACACCACCACATTTGCAGGCTTTCCCACCACGTCCATCACCCCAAGACGAAATGATGGATGTTCAAGGTTTACCAATGTCGTAGTGCAAACATAAAGGGAGCTGTAACTGCAATTCCCCTGCTGCAACCAGCAACAACAATAACAAAAGCCGCAGCAACGGCAGCCATCATAATAACATTATCAAAGGCAAGGGTTAGGAGGTGAACAACAAAGTAAACAAACAAAAATAAAAAAAACAACTATTAACAAAAATTGAAAATTAAATTTAAACAAAAAATTGATAAAAAATGGCGTTTGAAATGCTAATCGACCACACACATACATACATACATATATACATAGATTTAGAAGATGAAAACAAACAACAAATTATACTAAAAGTAATGTCAACTATTATCAGAATGGTAACAAAAGAACATGTCAAACCAACAAAATTTAATAATAATTGATTTGATTTCAACAAAAACAAATGGAGAATAATAAGAAACACACACACATACACATGTTATCATTACAATCTGAAAAACAAGTAAAGAAGCAATGGAGTAACAATTGATTTGGACATTCTATTTGAAACGTTAAATATTTTGAAAGTACATAAATTATTAAAAAAGAACTCAAAAACAGTTATGGCAAGAATAATAGAGGTTAATAGAAATTAAAATTAGGGTGTTTGCACCTTTCTTTTGTTTCATTGCTATAAAACGCCGCCACTCAAACATACAAAAGCTATTTCCAGAACAGTTTACCTTAACAAATTTATAATAAAAAAAGGAAAATATTTAAAAAAATAACTCCTCAATGCTGCTGTTAAATCTTAAAATAAAAATCATAATGATAAACTATAAGGAAAGTGAAATAACTTGTAAAATAAAACCAATAACAAACAAATCAACAACCATAGCAAGAAATTTCATATGTGGGTCAAGTAAAAAGTAAGAATAAATCAATATTTTCTTTTTAAATATTTTTTAATTTGTTGTTGTGACATTTCAAAGACACAAAAAATTAAACAAAATGTAATAGATGATCTTGTTTAGATAATTCAAAGGAAGATCCCCCCGTATAATGTTATTATCTAATTACAATTTTGAACTTCACAATCAGCAAATCACATATTTGTTCAATTGTTTGGAGTGGAGAAAACATGAAAAGGAGAATGAAACTCTTAAAAATAACAATGTTTTTCGTTTTTTGGTTTGAAATGAAACAACAAATCCTTACGAAAACGTAATATTTGAAGAAGTATTGATGGATTCGTTTGTTTTAACTCACCCACAAACATATTTCATACATAAAACATATAGTCTAGTAAAGATAAAGCTCCAAAAATAGTAAAATTTTCTTAACTAAATACAAAAACAAACAAAACAAATAAAACAACAATAAATAATACTAATAAAATAACAAATATCAACAACAAACAGTTAAAATTCTAAAACAAACAAAAAATACAATTTAAACACAACCCTTTAAATTCATCCAATGTAAGTTTAAGTGAATATTTATATTATAGAAAAAAAGAAGATGAAAAAGAAACACACAGATTGTAATAAAAAAACATTTTGTTTATTATTTTTTATGTTAACTTTTTATCAAATTTTCTTATTGTTAAACAAAAAATAAAACGAAAAAATGTTATCTTCATAAGTAAAGAAAAAAAGTACGTAAATTGTGCGAAAAAACAAAAACATTTATATTTTTCTTCTGTAAAAAACAAAAACAAACAACATTATAAAAACATTTTGTTTTCTTTACATGCATATTTACATAAAGTCGAAAAACAAAACTTAAAACCATAACAAATATTTCATATATTTTTTTTTCTTTTTTAATTTCTTCTTAAACTTAATTTTTTAAAATTAAATTAATTTTGTTTTTTTTTTCTTTTGATAAGGATACAAATATTTTCTACTTTAAATTGTTTGTTATTATAAAAAAAATCATATTAAAAATTAAAATGGCTTTTTTGTTTTATTTTTTTATTTTGGGTGATTGAATACATTGGAATTTGGAGGGGGTAATCATTTTGTTCAATAAGAATCATTTATGTATTTTTTATAGCGGAGACCACACAATAAATTCATATTTTCTTTTGGAAAGTTTTGACCTTTTGTTACAATGTTGACAATGTTAATTTGCAACATACATACATTATTAAAACACACAGAAAACAATTAAGCAACAACAACAAAAAAACAGCTTGTGTACCTTAAAAAAAAAAACAAACCGCACTGCAAAGTGGAAGAAGATCTAGAGCAATATCTCATTTTTCCTTGGTTCAATCAATGGCCAATCGAACACAATACTTATTATCAACCACCAAATTATCATTTTTTTTGCTACCGAATAATATACATATTTATCTCAATTATATTTTAATTTTAAAGAACAACAACAAAATTAAAGTAAAAACACAAATAAAATGAAATGAAGAAAAAACAAAATAACTTAAGGGACTGAAAATACACTTTTTTATGATGTTCTACAAACCGTATTGAAATTTAAATAAAACAAAATAAATAAAATACTAGTGAAATAAAGCCCGGGACTTGAAAACAACAACAACAAAAAGTAAAAAAATAAAATAAACTAACGAAAAGAAACAAAACAAAACATGTAACTACTGTAAATGAGATAACAAAAAAAGCATAAAAGAAAAAAATACCTCAGCAAAAAAAGTAAAAAAAATGGAAAATTCATTACAAAATAGAACAATTTTGCATAACTCATGAAAAGAAAACATAGCCTAACACATTCGTTTTTGTTATGTTTAATATTTTTATTTAATTATTAAAGTTTTTCTTGAAAGCTCAATTTTACAAAATGTTGTAGACTTGGAGGTGGGATCAGTAAACGAAATCGAAATTTTTCTTATCTACACCACATTTCTACAACATTTTTAAAATGTTTTTTTTTTATGAAAACATATATTTTTTATAAAGCTCTCCAGTTAAATATTTATTAAATGCCAATAATCATGGAATTCTTATATATGTTAAATTATATATATTTTTAAACGCATTTTGATTGTTATTAATTGCCCTTTTTTAATTTTGCCAAAATGAAATGAACTGAATTAAGTAAATTTTTGAAACTGATCAAAAAAAAATATAAATGAACAATTGTAAAAAATTATACACTGCCTAAAAAAGAAAACCAAAAATACAGTATAGGTGACAAAAAATGATTTCCTCTCCCTTACCCCAGAAAAAAACAAACAAAAATAAAACCGAAATGAATAATGCAAAAATCACTCTATGGAACACCAATTTATTGAAATAAACAAAATGGAAAACCAAAAACTATTTAAAACCAACACCAAATAAATAAATACGAAAAGGACAACAGACAACAATTTGAATTTCAATTAAACGTTTTATCGAAAGCATCTCCAAATGGAAAGAAATTCGACTTTGACTTTAAACAAATTAGGGATTTCTGGAACCGAATGATTTAATAATGTAGGTAAACATTTTGATGGAACTTATTACAGGGGACAATTCATTTTGAAATATATGTGTATTATTCATGTGTGACTGTATGGGTGCTTGCCGTATCTCTTTGCCCTTTGACAGAGATGATTTGGAATATAACCAATATTAATTTCCTTCAAATTATGTATAGGCCAGGCCAGATTGGACTATTCCTTTGTCAACAAATTAAATACGGAGTAACCATTTGTACACATTAATATAATAATACAACTCACTCCCAGTCCATAAAAGTCTTAACTTGAAAATAAAAACTACAACAACAAATATAATCATTGGAACAAAGGAAATTCTAACAACAACCAAAATCCTAATTTGAAATTAACAATTTCTTATACATACAGTTATACAGATTTCCAGACATATACATACATATATAATGTACATTTTTATATACATACAAAACATAAATATAATTAACGATAACAATATTTCGAATAATACTACGGAATCTTGATGTTGGTTTTGTTTCTTTGGTTTCGTCACAATGACAAGATAAACAAACTAAAAAGAAAATAATGTTGCAAATGTTGGAAATATCTATTCGATATTTAAATAAAAATTGAATGAAACAACCCAAAATATGAAACTATGAAAATTGTATGTAATTTTAAATATAAGTCGATGATGATGAAGATGATGACGATGTAACAACAAAAACTATAAGTTTAAATTTAAGTTCAATTCGACAAAAGAAAAAAAACAACAAAACCAAATATACGATATTTAAAAATTAATGATAATTGAATAAGTTCTAACTAATGTTGAAATATATAATTGTGTGGTCCTGTGCTATTGACTGAATGACTTATTTATTTGCTCAAGTCCAGGACATTTCATCGCAATGTAGACATTTTCATGGAGTGGTCTATGAAAAAAAAGTTCACTACTAGGCAAATACATACCTCTACATGCACGCATATGTCAAGTAATTCGAACTGTTTTGCTGGAACCGAAATATTCCCAAGTCTATTGGGTGACAGACTTGGGAATATTTGAAGACACGTTTCCTAGATAACCATTACAATGCCTTCAAAATGCCAGCATAAACACGATATCATAAATTTATCCTGGCAACCAATGCAAAGTTATGTTGTATAATCAATAATATGCATATTAACCCATTGTCAGCACAATGTATGGAAACATATTCAACAGGACAAATAATCCATTTCTTTTCATCTTGCCAGTTCTTTCATCCTCACACATATTTAATTAAGTCTTTGCTAAATTTTAAACAGATATTTTTAAATGAGATATTTATACTCTTTCGAGTCGAGCATAATGATCTAAGTTTTGCAATGAAAAGGAAAACCAGGAGAAGAACCAACGCACCCACCATTATGCGACGCTTTTCGCCGTTGGTTAAGCGGCTCATCAGGAATATTGGGCTATGTGGCCTTACAAAGGTCGTATGTTGATAACTTTTATTTATTTCGCCCTGATCCGGACTTGCATATGCGCATTTAATTCAAATTTGTCAAGGTTCGACATTTGTCTTCATTCTAGAAACAGTCCTTCTCAAAATAGATTTTTGTTGTAGCGATGTTGTAGCATGGCATACACATGTTTTTGCCCAACCTGGTCTGGCATTTTTTATTTTTAAAAGCCCACTTAAAATTCTTTGGTATGCCTTCTAAAAATCTAAAATTCACTGTTCACTAATACAAGTTTACAAATATGTTTGTAAATAATTATAAAAAAACATCTGAAATACATAGGTGTCCATAACTGTGCCTTGATTAAAATTTCTGTTGTTTTTCCAAAATGTATTAACCCAATTAGTTGGTTTCTTAAAGGGTTAATTAACTTCCTTTTTTGCAAAAAATACTTATACACAATTTATTCCTTTCACCTACAACCACAGGAAAAGGGAAAGCAAAATTAACCATGCTCCATGCAGTGCTCCATTTATGGATTGTTGATAGAAAGGGGCGGCGATAGTCGTTTTGTTTCTGTAGTTATGGTGACATTATGAATCGAATACAAAACAAAACCAAACTTTGATTTGAGTTTTGATTTTTCTGGATTCAAGAATAACCATTCGAATAGATAACTTCGCAACCTTTCGCTTCTCTTAAATCAACAGAAATAACAATTTTAAGAAAATGTTGAATAGTATGCGCTCGAAACGTTTAAATGGCCTGCATTTGACCGGTTGCAATGCAGGACCCATGGCTAGACTACCACCCAAATACTCTGATGAAGATTGGGATTTCAATAATAAGGTTAAGCTACGCATCACCTGTGACCAGGAACGTTTGGCGGAGCGCATCATGGAGTAAGTAGATTTACCATCTCATATATTCGTAATATAATGCCTTACCAAATATTGCAGAGAATCTCGTCGTGTCATGGACGATGTCAATGACACCACCCGCAATTGGCAACGTGAAGTGGAACATCAGATGCGTGAGCGCGCCAGTGAAATACGTTTCCTCTGTGACGAGTTGAATAAACAGAAAAAGACGGCTCTACTGGAGGATGAAGCCCTGAATACGTATCGCATGCGTATTCTAAATGCCATTGGATTTCTAAAAGAGAAATCCTTGGCCATTTGTCAACGCTGTTTAGTATTGCGTGAAGGACGTTTAGGGGTCGACCTCTGTGAAGACGAGGTAGATCGTTCTTTGCGTTGCGAGCTCAAAGTTATCAAAGGATGTCAGTGTCTAATGGACAAGGTATTGAAGGAGACGAATGAACAATTGCGTAGGTTGCGTGCCACAATGTATTCGCTGGATAAAGATCTGTCGCAAAAGGACAAGTCGCTAATGATTGACGAAAAGAATTTGACATTGCGTGGAAGTCAACGGGAAATGGGAGCTACTGATTTAGCTCACCATCATTGGTAAGAAAATGTCTTGAGGACATTTTAAAACTGTTCTTAATAATTACTCTTCAACTCTTCTCTCGCAGTCAATATTCCCTTAGCGAATGGCAACATACAACCTATAAGAACTTGGAGACGAATGCTCGAGAACTGAACTCCGCCGCTCAATTGCGTGCCTACGTCGATTTGTTGCTGAAGCAGGTCTGTGAAGATATGCAGAATCAAACGGATCGTACAAATGAAGCTTTTGCTCGTCGTATTGCCGAACAGAGACATGTTAAGGCATGCTTGGAGAATAAGCATAACGACACAATGAATCATATTCACGAAGTACAGCAGAATCTTCAGCTACTCGAAAAGGAGATATGCGATAAAAATCGTGCTCAACAATTGTGTCTAACACGTTTGGGTAATCGTGCCACACGACCTGGCGTTGAGTTGACATGTGACGAGGTACAAGATGCTCTCTATCATGAACTGGAAGCTCTGAAAGCATCGTTGTGTAAATTAAATACCAAAGTGCAGGAGAATAAGGCATCGTTACGTTATTTGATGCATGTCCAGGTTATGCAGGAAGAGGAAATCAATATCAAGGCAAATTCGATCAAAATTGATGAAGTCGATTGCATGACAATACGCCAGGCTTTGAAATATCAATCATTCTAAAGAAAATACTTTATTGAATATTTGAATTATATAGATTCGATTGCATAAATATAAATAAAAATTCAAAATTAATTTCCATATTTGAAACATAAATGTATCATTTCCTTATTTCCTGCAGTGTTTTGAAAGATTATTTACTAGACCAACAGAAGTTTTGGCATTCGATTTATGAAGGGTTTTCTAATAGGAGGTGTTATGATGATTAAATCATGAATGTAAATATGGTACAAATGCTATGTTTATACTACTAAATACGCTTGATATACATACGCCTTACGTCAACATTCTTATTGAGATACTCCTACTGCGTAAGAACGTTTGCATATGTAAGCACGCCCAACTTGCCCGACTCGACTTAACACTGAGGACAGTGTCCGTGGGTGTCAACAATGCGTTTCTCATGTAGTCTCCACCCCAACTCATTCGTAAATATTTCAAAATACTACTTTGTGTTATTCTTTGTAAGTATCTCCCCCCGACAACAACAACTGCTGTATCAGCTACAGTACTTTGTCAAACCTTTTCAAAATCGAGTTTTAACAGTTTTAGCTAGTTCTCGCTTGAGGTCGCTTTGCGCTAAGGAAAACGCGTAACGCAACCATTGTGATCCCTTAAAGCGAATTTACATATAACATTTAATCATGATTAAAGGCTGAATCAGGGTTTATTTTCTTAATCAGGCTAAATTTACCATGATTTACCACACAAATTTAAATCATCGTGCTGCAGGATTTATTTTAAATCATGATCGAAATCATGATACTACTGAGATGCATCGCGGGTTTTGTACAAAAAAATACAACTCTCTCACAATGTACCAAAATTTGCAACTGTTTTTACATGCCGTTTGTTTTTAAATTTAACGGCTGACAAATACAAAAATGACAGATCAAAGGAAAATAAAAATTAATTATAGAATTTTTGTGTTTTTAGGTGTTTTTTTTTTACTTTCCAAACGATCACAGTATTGCAAAAACATTTCCATTGTGGTAATTCTTCTATTCTTTTTCAAATTGCAAACAAATATTTTTGCCGCAAATTAATAATTTTGTATGTATACTAACAAACATAAGCTGATCGGCATTTAGATCATGATTAAGGGTATGTGTATACAATTAGGGTGTATTTCTTGATTTCGTTAATCGAGTCGATTTAAAATCGTATATGTAAATGTACTTTTAAAGGGCTAAACAGAATGTTCGCGTTGAGCGTTTTTTGTTATCGCGTTAACGCACGCAAAAAGTTAAAATATATTTAACTCCGATGTTTTATCGTTTCTTTGTGGTTGTTGTATTTTCGATAACACATAACGCAACGGATGGCTCAACGCGAGCATTCTGCTTAGCCCTTTATGCCATGTACAGACGAGCGCCGTTCGCTCTCTCATTCGTTGTTCGACCCCTAATTATGAAGTAATTACTTAGTTCCCCATACAAAATTTTCTGAGCGAACACCGACTTTTGAACGTTGTTCAATTCGAATCACTCTCTGAATAACCAAGAATTTTGTCCCATCCCTAACAATTGAGAGTATTTATCGAAAATAAATTAAGTTTGACAGTTTGAAAATATTTATGAAATTTTCAAACTTTTTCAGTAAAATTGAAAATGATGAATGAAAAGGAAGGAAGTAAATTTTGTAATCTACATAATGCAATATGCCTTTCCTTACCTTTTTTTCTAATTAGTGTACAAAACGAGAAACAAATGTGGGGAAACCCAAACAAAAATTCTCCAATTTTTATATGTCACATTTGAATTGAGAAAATATAAAAAATTATTCATAGCAACAATATTTTCGGAAAAAATGGTAAACACGAATTAAAAGTAAATAGATATAGGTTCATACTATAGTCAGGAGAAAGAGAATTATTTTTTCTATTTAGATCCATATGTGATTCACGCAAATATGTTAACATTTTTGTGTAAAACAAGAAACAAAAGTTTGAAATAAAAAAACTCTAATGACATGAATGAACGGGTTAATTCATGTACGTAATTCTGAGAGCGAACTACGTTGTTCGAATGCCCGTCAGAACATGGCATTAGGCTTTCAATACAAAAATTCGATTAATCAAGTAGTCAAAAGTCAATTTATATATCCCTAACCTGTGTGAAGTTTGCGGCGTCGCTGACTTTCGATAACAAAATTATTATCAAAGTTACAGGGTGACACAGAACATTACAATTTCACATTTAGTACTATTTTATCAGTAGTGTTTTCAAAAAGATGGTCTATTCCGTACGAATTTTACTTTATGATGTCGAAGAAAATAGTAAAATCAAGTAGATTCTTGCAGTACGGGAACAAACCAAGAAGGTTATTATAAAATAATAACTTTTCAAAACTATTAATGAAAATGTTTACCTAATATATTAGTAATGGGAAATAATCAATAAGAACATTTTTAAACATATTTTATTATAAACTAAAAATAATCTATTTCCAAATCATATACATTTTAATCCACTGAATCAGGAGAGAAGACTGCCTCTGGAAACCTCCGTATACAAACCTCGAACACAGTATTGGTACCAAATGAAAGAGGCAGTCTTGACGAGTATAAAACGTCATTTACATTATAACTTTTTACCGGGTTAACCTACTATATGATGATTTATTTCACATGTATACAAAATAATTGACAAATGAACCCCACGGTTTACGAAATCCGATACAATATAAACGTACTATTATGTCATTAATTATTTTTAAAAATTATTATTTTATAATATTCTTGACTATCTCTGTTTGCAAGCATTGTTAATAAAATAGTACACTAAATGTGAAATTGTTGTACTGTGTCACCCTGTAATTTCGATATTAATTTTGTTATCGAAAGTTAGCGACATCGCTAACTTCACTCAGGTTATCCCTAATATACATATTTTTTTCGGCATATTGATCGACGCAAGGTAGATATACAAGGTAGCCGCATCGGCGAATTTCTACAACAAACATCGGTTGTTGTATTTTGATATGTCAAAAATATTTTTCCAAAACAAACAGATTGACAAGATTTTTTTACACAAATTCTTGTAGAAAATGTTAATAAAAGTATTGCCAAAAAAGCTCTTCGAAATTCGGAGATTTTCATTTATAATTTTGTTTTTTAATTTTTTGGTTCAACATTACAACAACATTTTTGACATTTATTTGTCCAACAGCTGGGCCGATGCGGCTACCTTTTTAAATATACCTTGGATCGACGGATTGGATTTCTTACATTTTTCATTATTTTAAGTAATAAGAATATATAAAAGTAAATAATTAGAATAAATGTAAGTACAACACACAATTTACACATTTCCGCACCTATATTAAAAATTAATTTACGCACTTTTAAGAAAAAATCACGTACCCAGCCTTAAATCATAACTCGATACTTTACCAACATGTTTTTTCAAAATATTGGAAAAATTCAATGGATTTGGTAATTACAATTGGCTTGGGTTGAATCATTTTACAAAAAATAGATAATTTTCAATATCTATTCTTGGACAATTCCGCAATTGTTTTTTAATTTGTATTTTTCTTTCTCTTCTGTGTAGTTAAAAATGTCTAAACGTGCTGCTGACGACACCAGCGGTGGTGGTGGCTCTGCAGGCTCCGCTGCCAGCTCAAATCTTGGCCAACCACCCATAAAAAAGGTCCACTTCGAACCCCATCTCATCGGTCCGGTGTCCACTTTGGAGGAGATGGACATTAAAGTATTAGAATTTCAGAATAAGAAATTGGCCCAACGCATAGAGCAACGTATGCGAACAGAGGCTGAACTCCGACATCGTATAGAACAGCTCGAGAAAAGACAGACACAAGATGATGCCGTTCTCAACGTTGTCAATCGTTATTGGAATCAATTGAACGAAGACATACGTGTCTTGCTACAAAGATTCGATGCCGAGACAGCCGATGAATTGGAGAATCGTAATGAAAATGAAGTTACCACCTCTTTCCTGACACAATTATCAACATGGGACAAGGAAGAACTGGACGATAAGTTGGCAAATCGTGTCCAAGTCTCAAAACGAGCTGTAGCCAAAATCGTTCAAGTAATTGATCGGGTTATGCAGAGAAATGAAAAGATAACAATGGCCCTAAAGGGCGAACCACAACCGGCTCCCGCTGCCGCCGCCGGTGCGTCAGGGGAAAGTGCCGGCGAAGAGTCGCAAACAGATGCTGCTCCCAACAATGCATTGCCCAACATTGAGGAAACTCTCAAACAGCATCACATTGAAATTATGACAGAAAATCGTAATTTACAAAATCTGAATACATCTCTTCATGAAAAATTCCACACAATGTCGTTAAAAATGAAAGAATATCAGGATGCGTTGACGGCAAAAGAAACAGAAAATGCCGAATTGAAAAATCAAATTGATGAACTGCAATACGATTTGGAAAAAATCCATTGTCGCAATGATAAATTGGAAAATCATTTAGCCGAAGCTATAGAAAAGCTTAAAGCTTATCATCAGATGCACGGTGATCCCAATAAGAGTTCCTCTACATCGAAAGGTTCAGGACATTCGCATGTCAGTAGCCATCAAGTCGAAGATTTACAAAAGGAGTTGGAAGAATATCGTGAATTGGCTAATAATCGTCTGCAGGAGTTGGACAAACTACATGCCACACATCGCGAAACTTTAAAGGAAGTCGAAAAGTTAAAAATGGATGTAAGTAAATGTAACGAGAGTTGATGAATTTAAAGGTATGGTAGAAGTGTTAGTTGACACGATGCTAAAACATAACTACAGGTAAAAGTATTTTCTGTCTGGGATTGCATAATCTTCAACTATTAAAGGAATGGAGTGGTGAATGTTTTAGGTATCATGTGAAAGGATATTAGCTCTGTATTAATTTATTTGGGATAGATCATATTTGATGGATTATGAAGATTGTATAATTGTATTTATTAGTTTGTGTGGGAAGAACAGTTTCTCGAAAACATGTGTCTGAAGAAAATATTTACTTCTTCGATAAAATATTTACATTTTTGTAATCAGGACTTCAACTAAAATTTTAATATGCATTAGGTAATATAGGGTTGGGTTCTAGGGTCCAGATCTCATGAATTATAAATATCCATAAAAAATGTGGTTAACTTTTCAAAACTACCTGCCACCGACCCCTTAGATTGACAGGTCTTTTTTGACTCTTGTTATTTAACAATATACCTATATCGCCCACTCTTAGTTTTCACTTCTTTCATATATTTTACATCTAATATACTTTCCTATAGTCCAGGCATGCTTACCCATATACGCTACCGTAACTGAGGGTCGATGGGTAAACACATTTTCTCTTTACGTCAGTCGTTTGTAATGGTGAATTCTCAGTTACACTCGCAAACACTTGCTCTCAATTTAATTTTGCCCAACACTGCTATAGTCACATCTAATTCCAACATATTTAAATTGTTTTCAAAATTCAAAATTGCTAATATTGTCCCTTTTTATTTCCACTCATTGTTACAGATTCGCCAACTACCCGAATCGGTTATTGTGGAAACAACCGAATACAAATGTCTACAATCTCAGTTCTCGGTTTTGTACAACGAATCAATGCAAATCAAGACAATGCTGGATGAGACCAGAAATCAATTGCAGAACAGTAAAAATCAACATTTGCGACAAATCGAGGTAATGGAAAGCGAAGAGTTAATTGCCCAGAAAAAGGTACGCAGTGAAATGATACAAATGGAAGATGTACTGGCCCAAATACGCAAAGAATACGAAGCATTACGCATTGAATACGAACAGAATATGGCGGCAAATGAACAAACAGCACCCATAAATCGTGAAATGCGCCACCTCATAACGTCGCTGCAAAATCACAATGCCCAATTGAAGGGTGAGGGATATCGTTACAAACGTAAGTATAAAGATGCATCTGCTGATAATGTGAAATTGCGTAGGGAGCTGGAGGAAGCATTGGCCAAATTGGAGGGCACTAAACAGAATACTCCCAGTCAGGGCACCAATGGGGATGATGTTAAGCAGGAAGGTGCAGCAACTGTTAAAGATGAATTTGCCGGTTCGTCTGGTGGTTCAGGCAGTAATACAAGTGCCTCGAATGAAGGTCTTAATGTAAAAGAGGAGGGAAGTGCCAATATAAAATCGGAAGATGAAACCATGGATGATGATCTGACCAAGGATCAAAAGGAAGGCATTAAAAAGGAGCAATCATCGCCAGGCGGGCCCGAAAAGAAAGATGTTGCTGCGGCAAATGCAGCCGGCTCTACGCCCACAGGCGCCTCTGGAACAGGTGCTGCTGCCATTAAGCAGGAAAAAGATGCCAAGGAGGCACAGAAAACAAAGGATATCAAAATTCAAGAGTCCGAGACGGTGCGAGATTTGAAAGCTCAATTGAAGTAAGCTACGCGTTTAATACGCTACCGAACATTTATGAATACTATTAATAATGTGTGATTTCTTTTGTAGGAAAGCTCTTAATGATCAAAAGGAAATGAAACTGCTACTCGACATGTACAAAGGTGTTTCCAAAGATCAGCGTGACAAAGTCCAACTGATGGCTACAGAGAAAAAACTTAGATCCGAAATAGAAGATTTGCGTCAGCAACTGAAAAAGTTACAGGAAAGCAAACGTGAGGAACGTAAAAAACTTGCCGATGAAGAAGCTCTGCGTAAAATCAAGCAACTGGAGGAACAAAAATATGAACTGCAAAAACAGGTGGCTAGCCAAAAACCACCAGATAATGCCTGGGGTCCTGGGGGACCAAATTATGCTCGGCCGTTTGTCGGCTCCCATGAGGAGGAGGCACTGCTTAATGAAATGGAAGTTACTGGTCAAGCCTTTGAAGATATGCAGGAACAAAATTCAAGACTTATTCAACAGTTACGCGAAAAGGATGATGCCAATTTCAAACTGATGTCAGAACGCATAAAGGCCAACCAAATGCACAAGTTACTGCGTGAGGAAAAACAAATACTAGAAGATCAAATGGCAACGCGGGACACCCAAATAGAAGCTATGCACATAGTCTTAAGGAAGCTGGAGGAGAAAGAGCGCAGTCTGCAGGCCACAGTTGCGGCCATAGAAAAGGAATTGGTACTGCGACAACAGGCCATGGAAATGCATAAACGTAAAGCAATTGAATCTGCCCAATCGGCGGCCGATCTCAAGTTGCACTTAGAAAAGTACCACGCCCAAATGAAAGAGGCTCAACAGGTGGTGGCCGAAAAGACCAGTTCGCTTGAAGCGGAAGCCTACAAAACCAAACGCCTGCAAGAAGAATTGGCTCAATTCAAACGCAAAGCAGAGAGGATGAAGAAAATTGAAATGGCTGGTACTACCATCGATGAAGTTATGCTGGAGGAGATTAGAGAATACAAAGAGACACTCACATGTCCCTCGTGTAAGGTTAAGCGAAAGGATGCTGTTCTATCGAAATGTTTCCATGTCTTTTGTTACGACTGCTTACGTACTCGCTACGAGACAAGGCAGCGTAAATGTCCCAAGTGTAATTGTGCATTTGGTGCCAACGATTATCATCGTTTATATTTAACTTAAGTTGGAAATAGCAATCATACATTCACATACACATCCACAAACATACATCTCCACACTCAGCAGACAACATGCACAGAAATAAAGAAGGCGCCATTTTGGGCGCTTTGTTTTGTTTTCGTTTCGAATTCATTATACTTCCATTACAAATGTGTTTGTTTACTTTGTATTTAGTGAATTTAGTACTAAATGTTAGTGAACACTATTTTACTAATTTAATCCTAGGGGATAAAATATTTCTTTCATATTTAGTTTCTCTTCAATAAATAAGTCCTTTGATGGAGAAAAACATGTAATACACATAATTATAATAATAATAAATATTATATATTTAGAGTATATAAAAATAAAAATAATAATATTAAATGTGTTTTGTTTTCATTTATCAGAAATTACAACGTTTCCTAAATTCTAACGAAGCGTACAAAAATATTCAATTTCCCCACTATGTCAAAATGTAAATACCGCTCTTGTTTAACAGCTTTTCAAAACATACCTCCGACTAATTTTGTTCGAACTTGAAACAAAAGAATTTGGTGTGATCATTAAACGTTATTTTTTTGCGGGAAATGTCGGTAAAAGCAATAAAGTCAATATACCCGGAATGTGGGTCATTTCAGATCGTAGAACCCCTTTGTCGTGGAAACGAATTTCGGTTGCAGTGTTGGTTGATCGAAGAATAACATACGGGTGTCACGTAATCGAGTTACAACTTCAGTATCGTCTTTTTCCAAAGCATAATAAAATAAGTCGTGTAAAAAGGCGTTTCAAATATATTATTTTTAAAAGGAATGCTAAATTTAGGACGTTTCGACAAAATATTCAAAATTAACGGCCATGTTCTAATGCACGAACTGTTCGAAGAGGTTCTTTATTCATTGGATGTAAGTCAAAAAAGTAATTCGAATTTTGGGTTTCTTTATAGACCTAACTGCCTAACCACAGCTAAAAGATAACTGTCATTATCGACATAGGCGTTGGTAATGCCGTATCTCCTATGCCGTTCGGTTGATAATACTGTTTAAAAGTGCATTGTTGTTGTAATTCCACTGATATAAACCTTTAGTTTGCTTACCTTCAACTGGAAGGTTGGCATCTTCTGTAATCGTGCTTCTGCGAGGTTGGATTGTGGGATGGTCTGAGGCTGGGGGTTCTGTGTGGTGGATTTCCTCATGTTGACGGAACGTCCGCACTAAGCTTGCCGTCAATATGGGTGCCATGGAGGAGTCCGAGGCATTCAGGTTGGCTAAGGAGGGGTGTACCGGGCCAGGGGTGAAAACCAGCAGCCAAGAGTCCCCGCGGTAAGCAGTAGTGGGATAGCGTACCGGAGTGAGGTGCCGTCGCCAGCCCAGCCAATATGATTGGACCACATTCTTTTTGTTATGGAATTGCTTTTTTAATTATTATTAATAATTAACAAATTTTTGAAATAATACTAACCTTGCACGGACGGACTCGAGTTCAAATCCCAGTGAAGGCAAATACAATTCTATTTTTTTTTAATTGGAAAAAATATTCGAAAATCAAGATTTAATAACTTTTTCACAAATGTTTTCAATACATTGAGCTCGTTTCAATAATCCCCTCTATGGGTCTACTTCACAGCCCTAATTAATTTATCAGTTTTACCACAAATTTTGTTAATCTCGTACCCACAACGCCGTTCAATGGTAATACGGTTGCTACACATGGACTCGAGTTCAAATCCCAGCGGAGGCAAATTAATTTTTAAGCAAAATGTTTTTCAGATCTTTAATTAGAGTTCTAAAATAAATAGTAGAATTTAGAATTTATTTTTTGTATAATGGTCTTAATGGCGATGTTTTTTAAAGGCTCTCAAGAGGAGTAGCGAAGGGAAACATTTTCTCAGACGAATTTTTCATAAAAAATAAAAAATAGTTTACATACACTGAGATCAATAATTAAGTAAATGTCGTATCTTTAGCAATTAATTATTTAATAATACCATAAACCGAATTATTGGATTTTCGAATATTTTTTCCAATTTAAAAAAAATATATAAAGTTTATTTAAAAAATATAATTGCATTTGCCTTTACTGGGATTTGAACTCGAGTCCGTCTCCGTGCAAGGTAAACATTATTATTTTTCAAAAATGTGTTAATTATTAATAATAATTAAAAAAACAATTCCGTAACAAAAAGAATGTGGTCCAATCATATTGGCTGGGCTGGCGACGGCACCTCACTCCGGTACGCTATCCCACTACTGCTTACCGCGGGGACTCTTGGCTGCTGGTTTTCACCCCTGGCCCGGTACACCCCTCCTTAGCCAACCTGAATGCCTCGGACTCCTCCATGGCACCCATATTGACGGCAAGCTTAGTGCGGACGTTCCGTCAACATGAGGAAATCCACCACACAGAACCCCCAGCCTCAGACCATCCCACAATCCAACCTCGCAGAAGCACGATTACAGAAGATGCCAACCTTCCAGTTGGGGTTGGCTAAACGAAACATTAACATTAGCCCAATGACTTTGAAATCACACACGCACACACTCGCATCATTCATATAGTATTGCATGCAAGAAGTATCGGATAACAATATGTACGGCATTACCAGAGTTGAAAAAAAGTGTATTCAATTAAATATGAGTGCGGTATTGCCAACAAAGAGGGATTTTTCAGTATTAGTTTAATTATGTTAATTCCGTGGTACAATCATACAGGGTAGGTAGGCTACAGTATATTACAAATTAGTAAAGAAATCTGTTGAAAAATCCACGCTCTTTTTAGACCTTTAAAAAATGCTTTCCGTTCCATAGTTCTCAAATAAATATTTAAATATAGCTCTGACCGTTTAAAAATCTATATATATATTAATTTTCTTTAAAAAAATACGATCTGTCGAAAAAATTGTTTAAAAAATATATGCTCTTAAAAATTATGGAGAATATAGGTATTCGTTAAAAAATCTTTGCCCTTACAGCTCGTTCAAAAATGTCTTCTTAAAAAGGCTACGTTATCAGTTTTGAAGAAATAAAAATCGACGCTCATTCAGTCTTTGAAAAAATGTTATTTAACATATCTCTTGTTTATCTTCTTCGAAAGATAATAATTAAAAAAATGTACTCTCTAAAGATAATCGAAAAAATGTTCATTAAAAAATCTACGATCTAAAGATGATAAAAAAATATTCATCAAAAAATCTACTCTCTAAAGATAATCGAAAAAATGTTCATTAAAAAATCTACGATCTAAAGATGATGGAAAAATATTCATTAAAAAATCTACGATCTAAAGATGATGGAAAAATATTCATTAAGAAAATCTACGCTCTAAATATCATCGAAAAATATTCATTAACGAATTTACGGTCTAAACATCATCGAAAAAATATTCATTAAAAATTCTACGCTCTAACTATCATCGAAAAAATATCCATAAAAAATCTAGGCACTAAAAACTATCGAAAAATATTCATTAGTAACCTCCTACATCAGTAATAACCATTAAAAAATCTAGGCACTAAAAATCATCGAAAAATATTCATTAATAACCTCCAACAGTCCTCGAAGTATATATATATATATATATATATATTAAAAACTAAAGGCTCTTATATAAATATTCTTCTAAAATCCACTATAGACTTTCAAAAAAGGTGTTTTAAGAGATCTACGCTCAAACCAATGTCGAAAAAAATCTTTAAAGAATAAAAAAATATATTTATTAAAAGTCTACGTTCTACAGTTCTCTAAAATATATTCTCTAAATAAGCCCCGCTCTTTCATACCTTGTAATAATAATTTTCTGTCAATTGGCACTCAAATAGTCAGAATAGTCAATATTCTTATAAAAATTAATTACCCTTCATTGAACTCTTTCGAATATTGTTTAAAATGTCATTATCTTTGGTTGCGGTATTATATTTTTTTCGGGAATATATTTAAAAAAATCTTGATCAAAAGTGTCATAGATTTTTTGAAATGTATTCTTTAAAAAATCCCAAATCAGACAGCCTTTGCAGAAATACTTCTTATAAAATTCTCCTTCTAAAAGTTCTTGAAAAGGCATTCACGCTCTGATTGGGCATTTCAAAATGTTTTTTAAAAATCTAACGTTTTAACAGATCTTCCTTGAATATTCTAAAAAATAAAAAAAATATATATATATTAAATAAAGTGTAATGCAAAGAAATTTTCTTTCGAAAATGCCCAGCCTTTTATTTCGCCTGATCTTTTGTGGTGCGTATTTCAATTCCAATCATTTGCATTTTATTCTTTTGAGGAACATTAGTTTTGGTAATCTAAAATAATTACTAAATCGATTTTTGCCTGAATGGGGTCATAAACCAGATGTTAGTTTTTAACTAATCCTACCACTAAACCCCAAAAACTACCTGTCTCTATTTTTCCATGTAAAACTCTCACAAGTTTATTACAAAATCCCATTTGGGTTGGGTAAAAATGTACTATTTATTTTAATACGTACCATTGCCGTGTTTGCCATCTCTGGTTGTGTGTGTGTTGTTTTTGTTTTTGGAGAGAGATTCACATTCCCTTGTATACGCTCATTCGCATTTGCCGTTCATTTTGGGTAGGCAGCATTGCTGCTTCAGTGGTTTGTTTTAGTAGTGAGACGAAGTTGGTCGAAGCCGCGCGACTTTTTCGATACGTACGGAAAACGGAAACAAAATTAGCAAAGGAAGAATAAGAAAAGGCAAAGCAAAAGAATTGCTGTTTAACTTAAATGTTTTGTTTTTTTGCGGAAATGCAGTGAAGAAGTTTAAAGTCTGGTAGAAACACATCAAGTATTTGTAATTAAATTGTGAATTGATAATTTGTGTGGTTTATTTGAGAAAAAAGAAAAGAAATATAAAGAAAAAAATAAAAGTCAAAGAAGTGCAAAATTATTCTAAGCGAAAATTGATTTTTCCCCCAAGAGAGAAAGAGATTTTGTTTGTGTGTGCGTGTGTATGAGTGTTGCCTGACTTAAACGGCAACGACGACGAAGAAGAAGAAAATCAACGAAAAAAGCCTAGCAGTA